TTGGGAGAAAAAAGAGAAAGCAGCTTCAATTCCTGGATTTGTTACTTGCTTGCTGTGTGAGCACGGATATGCTTCTGGATATTTCTAAGCCTCAGTTTCCTCATTTACCAAATAATGATAATACTGCCTACCTCATCGGGCTGTTCTGAGGACTGCACGTGCCAACACATGGAACAGTGCCTGCCACACAATGAGCGCTTAGCATCTGATAGCTGTCGTTGCCGACCTCAGGAGTTTAAGGTGTCACACAAGAGTGTATGTGACATTGCTTTTTAAAAATAGACTGTAATTTTTAGAGTCAATTTAGATTTACAGGAAAATTGAGCAGGGAGTACAGAGAGTTCTTATATATTCCCACTCCTGCACTCAGTCTCCCCTACTATTGCCATCTTATGTTAGTATGGTAATTTGTCACAACGAGTGAACCGATATTGATACATTAATATTAATTAACGTCTACTGTATTCAGGTTTCCTTAATTTTTACCTCGTATCCTTTCTATGCTCTAAGATTTCATCCAGTATACCACATTATGTTTGGTTGTGTGGACAAAACAGGGGCTACATATTAAACCCCACAAGCTCAGGGGAGGCCTGAATAGTGGGCTTTATAAACTCAGAGACTGGAGTAACCATATAGGATGATCAGAACATAAAAATTCCTAACTAAAAGCAAGTCACAGCAGGTAGTCACTTCCTAGGCTGCATCTTCCTCCATAAAGGTCAATCTTTAAGTGAGCCTATCTATTTTGCATCTAAGATAACATGCCTTTAGAATGTCAGAGTTATCTTTTTTTTCCAGACTCCAAAGGCCAGTCTCCCACCAGAGCAAGAGACTGCAGAACCCCTCATTGTGATCTTTTGCCCAAATACCATCTCTGTGCTATAAATGGCAACTGTCTCTCACCCACCAATGTAAAAGAAGTACATGTCTCTGCTTTACTTTTTATCCAATCTCAGCATTTCCCTGCTTTGCTTTCTCCCACCTCCTAATCTACCACCAGTGGATTTCATGTAGCCCTGCTTACATCTTCTCCTTTGATTCTAGTGTATAAAATGGGGATGTCAGACTCATTTTCACCAGAGGCCACATCAGCATCATGGTTGCCTTCAAAGGGCTGAAATAATTTTAGGACTGTATAAATGTAACTACTCCTTGACTGTTAAGGAGTTGAAATTACATTTGGCCCTTTGAAGGCAATGCAAGGCAGATGTAGCCCTGGGTGAAAATGAGTTTGACACCCCAGTATAAAATTAGCTGTAAGTTACATGAACATCTAAACACTATGTTGTACCCCTAAAACTAATATAATGCTGTATGACAACTGTAAGTGAAATTTTAAAATAATATATTAAAAAGTAAAATAAAAAGCAATTAAAAATAACATATAAATCTGACATTCTTAGGAGCATTTTCTTAATTTGTTGAAAATTTGCTTCCCAGCAACTGTCCTCACTTTGGCTCAAATAAACTCTTATAAGACTTTATAAGACCTTTTCTTGGGCTGGATGTTCTTTTGTCGACAGTCTCCTTACCAACTCTTGGCTGTGACAGTTTCTTAGACTTTCCTTGTTTTTGATGTTGTTTTTTAAAAATCATGGTGAGTACATTTGGGGATTAAATAGTGCCCCCTGCCCACACCCTTTGCCCCAGTGTCGTTTGCTAGAAGGAGGCCACAGCAGCTGCGAACCTTAAATGTCCTGTTCCAGAACAGTTTTGTCTGTTTGAGAACTTTGACTTTTGGCACTCAAATATGAGATCCTTGGCAGCCAAAATAGTCCATGTCAGAATAGTTGAGCCCACTACAATGTCTGTTCTGTTTATACATTTCTTCATTTACTCATTCAAGTAATATTTGCTGAGCAACTGTTATGTATCTATACTATGGTCTGTGCTGGGGATGTTGCAGTGAGCAAAACAGTCAGGGGTCCTTCTTCCGTGGAGCCTACATTCTAGAGAAAGAGGCAGACAACAGTGAAACTAACAGACCAATACAGTGGTTATGTTGTGTGGTAAGTGCCACAGAGGAAAACAATGGAGATGGGCAACAACAGGAAGAGGGACCCATTTCAGAGAACGCAGTCTGGGAAGCTCAGAGCTGAGCTTCTATAGGAAGGAAAGACTTTTTGTCTTTCCTACAGAGAGTAGGAGAGGGTGTGAGGGTGTTGGAGAGGAAGAGCATTCCTGGCATAAGAAGCAGAACATGCAAAGGCCTTGAGGCAAGAAAGAACAAGCAGGGCACAGGAACTGATAAAAGCTGGAGAGGAGCTGGAGAAGTAGGCATGGACCAGATAGAATGGGACTTCTAGACCAGGGTAATGAGTTCAATTACTATTAAAAATGAAATGAAAATTTTGATAAGAACAAAGCCAGGATCCAAAACAGGGTTATTAACTCTGAAGCCCAGGATTTTTCTGCAGTGTTGTAGGTGTCCACCCCTGAGGAAAATTCATGATTCTAAAATGCATTAGATGGATGGGGGCTGCCCAGAATGAGTAGGCAGGTGGATTAGAAACAGACTGTAGATAGTAGAGAAAAGGAATGATCAGTGAGGAGACTATTGACTTAATTAATGATGAGATAAACATGCTAAGAAATGGTCGACCAGTGTTTGTGCATTTTTCTTGTTTTGTTTATATTAGTATTCCTATTCTCAGTAATACTGGGGCTGTTTTGAGATTTTGTAGAAAAGAAAAAAGAAATGAAATGGAAAGATATTAAAGGGTGGTCACCAGAAAGTGATGTGATCAGATTTGGAAGAACACTGCTGCAGCTGTGTGGACTGGGTGCAAGGAGCAAGACTGACGGTAGAGAAGCTGCTCAGAGTGCTGCTCAGAGTGATCCTGCCTGAGCAGAGTTTATGGTCCACAGCCTAATGAGAAACATATTTTGACATTATTAGCATAATATATTCAGATCCATGACATAACCTGTAGAGAGGGCTGGAACAAATTAGCACAGTTTGCTGGCACACATTTATTCTCTCTGAGTTCTGGAAGTCTGAAATGAGTTTCACTGGAATAAAATCAGGATGTCAGTGGGCCATACTCCTTCCCTAGGCTTTGGTGAAGAAGCTGTTCCCTTGCTTTTCCACCTTTTAAAGCAACATTCTTTGGCTTGTGGCCCCTTCCTCTATATCCCAAAACAGCAACGTAGAATCTTGCCTCAGTTATCACATTGCCCTCCTATGTAGTCAAATGTCTCTCTGCCTCTCTTTGAGAAGAACACTTGTGATTACGTTTATGGCCAATTTGGGTAATTCAGTATCAACTCTTCATATTAAGATCTTTAACTTAATTATACCTGCAAGTCCTTTTTGCCATAAGTATTGGGTGGGCCAAAAAGCCTATTTAGTTTTTTTCCATAAAATAAGGCACATTTTCATTTTCATCAATAGCTTTATTGATTTGGATATTTTAAGTATGTCTTTTATCTCCCATGTGATATAACATTGACTGCTGTCAATTCATGTCTAGATTTGATCACTATCACCTTCAACTGGTTTACCTGATCATGGAGCAATGTCCAGTGAGAAATCTCCAGTACAAAACTTCACAAACCATTTGTGACACATTCAATTAGTCACAGCACCTTCTCCACACACTGCACAAATCATTTTTTGCATTTCAGTTGCGGTTTTACCTTTCTTGAAATGATAAAGCATAATATGACAAAAATGTTGCATATTTTCTTCCATCTTCAATATTAAAATGGCTATACCAAAATCCACCAATTTTGTTAAGTTTTGTTCAAAAGCACACTGATATGACAGCTGTCACAATACAATCTAACAAAATAGTTTTGAATGAAGTTAAAACTAAGTGCTGCTAGAACCATCTAATGGAAAAAAACAAATGAACTTTTTGGCCAATAACATTCACAGGTGTGAGGACTAGAACATAAAATCTTTGGGGATGTTATTCAGTCCACCCTAGACAGTAAAAGAGAGAAAAGGTCCCAGTGTCGGACCATGAGTCATGCTAACATTTAAGTCAGTAAAAGGAGAAGTAACCAGCAAAAGAGATGGAGGTGAGATAGCAGTTGAGGACATTGGAAGGATGGCAGGGGGTTGTGTTGCAGAACCAAGAAACTAGAGGATGTTTAGAGGGAAGGGGACCCCAACAGTTGTTGAAGGGATAAATAAGATAAAAATGGGGAAGGAGCTGGGGGGAATGATATGATGGACATTGATTTTAACAGCAGATTGGCATGAGGGGGACAGGGCACACTGGATTGGAAGCCATTGGAATGGGTTGAGGAATGCATGGGGTAAGGTGGTGCAAGGTGCAAGGTGGGCAGTGCTTTAAATTCTGCTACCCAGGGAACAGAGAATCTGGGTTGGAGAGGGTTATGGAGTTTAGGACAATGGCTTTTTTTATTGCTTCCTATTTTTTAATGGTGGATATTGATGATGACTCAATGCAGGAGGAAAACCTGATAAGTGAAGGTGTGGGAATCCCACAGGGTGGGATTCAGAATCTTTTGGAGACCCTGTTTGCTGGGACTCCATGCAGGAGGAAAACCTGATTAAGTGAGGAAGTGAAGTCCTTGTGAAAGCAAGAAGGAATGATAAGGTCCAGAGCCCAATGAGAAGCTGGCCCTGCTAGTAGCAGAAACACTTCTTCTACTGTAACAGGAGAAAGAGATGTGTGCAATGTGGTTGATTTTTCAAATGAGTGAGGCTGAGAATGAAGAAGTGGGGAATGTTTGAGGAAACAATGTTTGAGGAGAGTCATATTATTTGTGGAGATATATTATTTTGTTTTGTTTCCCTTAGCAAGTATAAATAAGATAGTTGCTAAATATCTAAAATATATTCTTCTTTAACCAACTTCCCACCCCACATTAATGACAGGCAATTTTTAGTTAAATTAAAAAAATGCAAATAGCCATCTTATATGAAACTTTATTACAAAGAGAAATGGTATAATCAAACTACTTTGTGGTTTTGTGTTCATTAAAAAATAAACTAAGGGAAAAGGGAAAAACCTTACAATGAAATAGTTTGTGGCGTGAGTTATAAATAAAGCATTTCTCATAACTATTATCGTGAAATTATACAGCCCACGCAGGAATGAAGACTGTAGAGCGCCTACTGCAAAATCACATTATCACAAAATCACAGGGTAGGATTCAGAATCCTTTGGGGATCCTGTTTGCCTGGACATTCAACCAAACTATGGACATAACTATTAGCATTCGAATCCTGTTTTCTGTTAAACTAGTTTTTATCAAATTACATGTTTCCCTTCACCAAGAAGCAGATGAGAAAGTATGAAAGGTCCCTCCACCGGAGTATTTATTAGGTCCTGCTCATTCATCTGGACATCCAAATGACCCATGGCCAAGGCAGTTGTACTATGCTCACTCATCCGGCATTGGCATTGGCATTACAGGGCAGCTTGCCCTGAGTGAAGGGCAATGTCTCAGTCTAGTAATAAACAATATTGCTTTTATCAATCTTATACCTAACATTTATGCATGCAAAGAGAGAGAATGGATTGCTTGAAAACTATAATACTTGTTTTGAAAGCTGCTTTAATGGTGTAAAAATTGCTATGGGGACTCTCTTTTTCGAGCTTTTCCTTTCCTTTTCTTTTCTCCTCCAACACAGGCCTTGTCTTTAAGAGGCATGGAATCTAGGATTTTGTGATTCTCTTCTCCTCTCAACTAGTCAGCTACACTGCTGAATTCTTCCTGATGTTTCTTGCATGATGAGACTGTTTTTATTTTCTAGAAGATGGAGACTTGGAAAGACTGCTGAGGTAAATAAAAAATCAGACTCAAGACTCAAGCCCAGACTTGCCTCCTGCAGTTTGCCTCCATCTTAGAAGGTCCCACGAAACTGTCAGGGAGTCTCTGACTCACAGTGGGGAACCTAACCGGCTGTTTCACAGATTCCAGCCCTCCACGTTCTGAAAAACAGAAACCAGTTCTCTAGTTGATTCTTGAAAATACAGATGTTGCCACAGAAACATATTGTATGAACAAATAACATGAAGTGAGTCATAACTGTTCAAGTATCTCTACCATTTAGCATAAAAACAGCAGCAATATTTTTTAAATGCTTATAACTTTGCCTTTTGTAACGAATAGTGTACAGGTTATTTATATTAAAGTGGAAAAGGCCAGGTCTGCTGGCTAAAGCTTCTAACATATTCATTTGGTCAGATTCTATCAGCAGATACTGACGTAGACATTTCCATGAATTCACGAGAAAGTTCTTTCCCCCAGAACAGCTAAGGGAAGCACCTTAAGTAACAGGATTGAAAAATCAGCACTTTTCTTGTTAGATGTCTGAAGCAGCCTACCTCTTTCCAAAGTTGTTCATCTAAAAAGTTTGAGGGTTAGCTAAGGAAGCACTCTCTGTCTAATCTAAGAACTATGTAAAATGGAAAATAAAGATATCTTTCAAAGGGTCTCTGCAGTTGAGCAAATTCATTCCAGGAACAGACTGAGACTGTTCTATCAGTCACACTCATTCTCCTCTTTTTGTATTTTACACCAAAGGATGCTTCACAGCCTATTTAAAAATAAGTAAGTAAAAGCAAACGCTTTGACTGTGTCCTGAGGATCAGAGCCTGACCTAAGATACAGCATCAGCCTTCCTTGGTGAACAATGCCTTGTCCAGGTTCCCTGCAGAGCAAGACCAGCTAGTTCACAGAGCATCCGTGGGGAGCGCACAGGACTGGACTGCCCGGTATGCCACCTGGTTCCTTGCAGAGCGCAGTCTGAGGGACAGAATCACTGTGATGATCAGGAAGAGGAGCCCCATGATGAAAAGGATGACCAAGGCTGCTTTAGCTCCTCTAGGACCCAGGTTCTTGCCAAAGAAATAGAGTTGCTCCTTGACACGTTCTTCTGTGAAAAAGAAAAGTGAGGTGTCATGCCTCTGCCTTTACCTGGTGGGTGAACACTGTTGATTCACATGAAGGGTTCAGGGAGGGGGTCATTACCATCGGAGGGCTCGGTGGCTGGGTGGGATGCTCCTCCAGAAGGAGTCTTGGTGGAATAAGGAGTCCTGTTGTCTGGACAAAGAAGACAAGTTAACTGTTTTATAAACAATAGAAGTAGATTCTTTCTGTGGCATGAGTTGTTTCAAGAGCTGCTTCATGTTGCCAGCAAAGACTTTATGTTGTCAGTATCCATAAGGTGTAAGTCTTCCTTGGATTCTCACTGTGCTGCCCTTCATTCCAGTATACATGCGGGAATGTTCCTACTCCAATCACCTTTCAAACTTCTACTCAACCTTTAGGATCCATGTGAAGCACTATGACCTCTCTGGAATCCTGGCTCTGCCCCCAAACTGTGAACCATCAGCTTCCTACTGCTGCCACTGAACCCTCTGCCCTGTACTCTATTTTGTCTTGTTTCATGTTCTGTTATGATTACAGTTTACATGTATGTCTCTCTTGGTTGACTTGGTTGACTCGGGAGTCTCATGTCTCTTGTTTGCAGGGTCTACGGGAAACCTAGTGCCATCACCTGGCATCGCTGGCAGACAGCACTATACCTGTGTTCCGAAGGACTGTGTAGGTGGTTTCCATGCCTGCATGGATGTGATCAGATACGTGACAGTGTAACAGCCATGTCCCTGGGTGATCTGCAAATAGTTCAACAGTTTGGAAGGTCCCAGGAAAGAGATCGTACACATCTTCTCGGTAAGATTTATCTATCTGCAGAAAGAAGGAAATAGTAAAGAGCAGAAATCAATAAAATCAAGAATAGAAATATATTACAAGATTAATCAAAGAAACCCAAGACTGTTTTTTTTTGAACAGATCGATAACATTGATAAACTTGTGGTAGCCAGTCTCGACAATGGCCCCCACTGATTCCCACTTCCTAGTAGTCATAACTTTTGTAGTCCTCTCCTAAACTACATGAGAGTTGGTCTATGAGACCAATAGTACATTTTAGGAGTGATGGCATTCTACTTCCAAGAGTAGGTTATAAAAGACAGTTTTGGTAATAAAGACAGGCTTCAAGTGCTGGAAACAGCCTAAGTGCCCATCAGTAAATGAGTGGATCTAAACACTGTGGTATATTTATACAATGGAATACTATGCAGCAGAAAGAAAGAAGGAGCTTCTACCCTTTGTGACTGCATGTATAGAATTGGACAGCATTAGGTTAAATGAAATAAGCCAGTAGGTGAAAGACAAATACCATGTGATCTCACCTATAAGTGGAACCTAATCAACAAAACAAACAAGAGAGCTAAATAGAACCAGAGAATTGGAAATAAAGAACAAACTGACAGTAACCAGAGGGGAGTGGGGAAGGAAAGAAGGGGAAGGGTCAAGTCAAGGAACATGAATAAAGGACTCATGGGCATGGACACCAGGGTTGGGGATTGACTGTGGGAGTAGGGGTGGGGGTGGGTGGGCAGGGCAGGGGAGATCAATGGAGGAAAAAGTGGGACAACTGTAACTGAACAACAGTAAAATAAATAAATAAATAAATAATAGGCTTCTGTCTTATACCCTCTCTCTTGCTTTCTCCTCTTAGATTCCTGATTCTGGGGGAAGCCAACTGCCATGCCATACCCACATGATGAGGAGCTGAAGCCTCCGGTCAACAGCCCTGCGAGTGAGCTCAAAAGTGGATTGTCTAGCCCCAGTCAAACCCGATGACTGCAGGGCCGGCTGACATCTTATCACAGCCTCATGAAAGATGCTAAGTTGGAACCAACTAGCCAAACTATTTCCCAATTACTGACCCAGAGAAACTGTGATAATAAGTGTTTATTGTTTTTAGGACATTAAGTTTTGGAACCATTTGTTAGCTAGCAATAGATAACTAATAGAAACCTCTAGACAAACTGACCAAGGAGGGAAAAAAGAAAGACACAAATTGCAAATATCAGGAATGAAAGAGGGGACAACACTGAGATCTTATAGACATTACAAAGGATAATAAAGGGATGTTATGAACAACTGTTTATAAATTATATAACTTAGATGGTATGGACAATTTCTTAAGGTGAAAACTGGTATCACTATTCAGGTTATCTATTAAAAAATCTGAAAGTATAATAAGACCTTCTATCAAATGAGCTCCATGTCTATAGGTCTTTATTGGCAAATTTTATCAAACATTTAGAGAAGAAGTAATACCAATTCTAAACAAACTCCCAGAAAATAGAAGATGAGAGAACACTTTAAACTCATATTATGAGGACAGGATTACCCTAATACCAAAACCAGCCAAAAAACTTACAAAACAAGAAAGCTTCTACCAGTGTTCTTCATAAACATATATGTAAAAGTGCTTAAAAACACTAGTAGATTGAGTCCAGAAATATAAGAAAAGGATATTGCATTATGACAAATTAAAGTTTATCCTGGGAATGAAAATGGGTTCAACATTTGAAAATTAGTCAATGTAATTTACCTATATAATAAAGAAAGTAATCAATAGACTAAAAATGAAAAATGTGATCATCTCAATAGATTCAGAGAAAGCATTTGACAGGGTTTAACATCAGTTCATGATAAAAAAAAAAACAACTCTCAACAAACTAAGAATAGAAGGATCTACAGCCATCTTTATATTCAGTGGTGAATGACTGACTTGACTGCTTTTCCCCTAACATTAAAAATAAGTCAGCCTTGGCTGGTTTGACTCAATAAATTGAGCACCGGCCTGTGAACCAAAGGGTTGCAGGTTTGATTCCCAGTTTGATTCAAGGCACATGTCTGGGTTGTGGGCCAGGTCCCCAGTTGGGGGTGCATGAGAGGCAACCACACACTGATGTTTCTCTCCCTCACTTCCTCTCTAAAAATAAATAAATAAAATCTTTAAAAAAATTTTAAAAAGTAAAAGTTATCCACCTTCACTATTCATATTCAACATTATAGTAGAGCTTCTAGCCAGTGCAATAAGGCAAGAAAAGAAACAAAAGGTATACAGATTGAAAATAAATAAGACTGTCTCTAGTCACAGATAACATGATTGTCTATGTAGGAAACCATCTCCCCAAAATCTACAAATAGCTACTAGAACTAGTTTAGAAAAGTTGCAGGATACAAGGTGTATTATACAAAAGTCAATTGCATTTCTACACATTGGCAATGAAAAATTAGAAATTGAAATAAAACAATACCACTTATACTATCACCAAAATCCAAGTATTAGTGATATTCTGAAAAAAATATGTGCAAGATTTGTATGCTGAAAACTACATAAGACTGATGGGAGAAATCAAATAAGATCTAAACAAATAGATATACCACATTCATGGATTGAAAGACTCAGTATTAAGATAGCTATTCTTCCCCAACCAATGTATAGATTTAATGCAATACTAATCAAAATCCCAGCAGGATTTTTAAAATAGAAATCAGCACAATATTTCTTTTTTTATTTTTCTTTTTCAGTTACAGTTGAAATTCAATATTACTTTATATTAATTTGAAGCTATCTTTAAAATTTGTATGGGAAGGCAAAAATCTGGAATAGCTAAAACAATCATCACCTGATTTTAAGACTTACTGTCACGCTAAAGTAGTCAACCAGTGGCATTCAAGAAAGGACAGATATATACAGTGTCCAGCAGCAGGAATGCCTGCTTGAGTGTGGTTGGTAGGGCAGAGGGCAATATAGGGGAGAAAAAAAAGGGACAACTGTCATAGCATAATCAATAAAATATATTAAAAAATAGTGAGATACCACTACACATTTAATGGAATAGCAAAGAAAAAATTAAATAAAAATGGAAGATACCAAGTGCTGATTTGGATGTGTAATAAATGTCATTATTATACATTTCTGGTGGGAATGAAAAATGGTACTGCCTCTGCAGAAAATAAAGCAGTTTGGCAATTCCTTGTCAAGTTAAACATACACTTACCAAATGACCTAGCAATCCAATTCCTTAGTATTTTCCCAAGGAAAAGGAAAACATATATTCACAAAAAAACATGTACTTAAATATTTATACTGATTTTATTTGTAATAATAAAAAATTTGAAATAACCCAAATGTTTGTCAACAAAGGAATGAATAAACAAACTGTAACATATTCATACAATGGAATACTACTCAGTACTCAAACAAAAAAAAAACAAAACTATTAACACACAAACAAAATGGATGCAATTCAAATGCCTATACTAAATGAAATAAGTCAGATTTAAAATTCTATAGACTGTATGATTCCATTTATATGACATTTAGAAAAGGCAAAGCTATAGATATAGAAAGTAGACTCATGTTTGCCAGGGTTAAGCATGGGGAAATGGCTGACTCTGGAGGGTGCAATAGGGACTTTTTAGGTGGTGGTGGAGCTGTTCTGTATTTTGATTAGCATTGGTTATACCACTGGGTGTGTTTTTAAAAACAGAGCTATGTACTAAAGCAGGTCAATTTTACCCAATCTAAATTATACCTTAACACAATTTGTATGTAAAATAATTTTATATATGCATGTAAAATTTTGATATGATTTTTAAAACTTGAGTTTAAGAAGTCAAATTCTACAATGATGGTTGCTAGAGGGGAGGGGTATTTGGGAACTGGATGAAAAAGGTGAAGAGATTAAGAACTACAAATTGGTAGTTATAAAATAGTCATGAGGATGTAAAATATGGCATAGGAAATACAGTCAATAATATTGTAATAACTTTGTACGGTGCTAGGTGGGTACTTGAAATATTGGGGGACCACTCTGTAAAGTATATGATTGTCTAATTACTATGCTGTACACCTGAAACTAATACAAAGTAATATTGAATTAAATTGTAAGTGAAAAATAAAATTAAAAAAGCCAAGTTCTGAAAATGAGCATAGCCATTTAATACATAAAACTATAATCATTGTAGGCTAATACTTGGTGCCATAAACTATGTTGAAGAACTATACAGAGGGGAGAGAATATTAAATGTTTGTTTAAAATTATTGTTTATTCCTGTGTAACTAGAAAAGGATTAATGTGGGTTTTCTCCACAGATGAGATGTGATTATTCTTCTCTATTCTACTTTCCTGTAGACTAAGTGGAGCACATGAGGTGATAGACTATTTGGCCCTTATTCCTGGAGATTTGATTCAGTGGCATGGAGTAGGGCCTAGAGATTTGTTCTTTCTACAGCTCCCCATGTGATCTGTACAGCTGAAACCAACCATGTGGTATACATGCTAGAGAGGCAGAAGCCCACATATGACCCAGGGTAAGAGTCAAGATAAAGTTTTTGGGCCTAAGCCAAAGCTCAAAATAGCTTTTACTACATAGGGTTATTCTTTTGGCTAATCATGTAGAAAAGAAATGGGGAAAGAAAAGAGAAAGAAAAAAGGAAGGATAAGGAAAGAAGACAAAATACTATGGGTGCTTTCACATATGATATGGACAGCATAATCCGCAGTGGGCAGAATTATTCTCATGTAAGTGATGAGAAAAATCTCACCTGAAGCTTGGAGAGGTTTTTTTTGTTGTTTGTTTGTTTGTTTGTTTTCAAGTACAATAACATATATGTTCATATTAAGAAATTTCCTCCAGGGGAAGGATATAATCACATTATTCTGTTCCATTCTCTAATATCCATCACCCTCACACAAGCCTCATTGCTAAATAACTTTACTTCACAGAGGAAATGCATTTAATTTCTTCTTTCAAAATGTCTCCCCCAAAGCATTTTCCTTACACTTACTTTGAAAAGAAAGCTCTCAGCATGATAATGGATGGTATGTATATCCACTTCACTTCCTATTCCTAACAAATACCAGTTTGTCATTGTATCTTCATTCATGATGAGGCCATGGAGATTCCCAAAAATCTTTCCATTAATAGCTAAGATGGTGAAAAGAAAATAGTTTTTGATTAGTGACATGATGTTCATTATTAATCTGGTTCAAGAAGATCTTTAAGTCACCAGAATTCTCATCTGCCTGATGATAATGGAACAATCTCATTTGCACTTACCAATGTCCTCATATTCTAGACCTAAAGTTCAGATTATTAAGAAATCCTTAAACAAAGAGAGATGGAAAGAGAAATGGTTTGTTTTTGGAAGCTATATCTTGGGTAGCAATGTGTGCTGTTTATATGTTTATTCAGTATATTCTTTTTATGGAGTACATTACAGCCTCATTTGTGAGGTAGCTAGATTTATACCATTCTACAATTGAGTGGACTAAAGCATAAAGAGGCAAGTTCATTTATATCATAACTGAACCAATTAGAAGCTATGTCCTAAATGCGTCACTTTCTGAGGACTATGTTGGGGCAAGTTTCTACGCCTGGCTGACTCTCCCAAACTTCACACCAGCAGAGCCCAGATCTCACAGTGAGCAACACTGGCTCAACTGGTGTTGACGTGATGGGACACTCTTCCCCCTTTGCTTTCTATTAAGTTTTTATTCTGTGCATCATGACATGACCAAAGGAGTTACATTAATTAAAAACAGCATTCTAAGAAACCTTAGGAGAGGGAAGCAAAGTTGGTAGGGGAAAGAGTAGCTGAATCAGAGATCAGGCTAATTCTGATTTATGTTAGCAATTAACCAGCTTTGTGACCTTGGGCTAAGCCTACCTTTCATTACACTTTTGGTCAAATGTAGATCTTGGTGAGAGAGTGCATATGTGTCAAATTAAACATATTACCCCCACTTTAAAAAACTACCTTAAATTACATAGAATTAAATAACATAGACACATTAAAACAGAAATTTGGTGATGGTATTTTATGTCCTACAAACAGTTAAATCAGGCACTTAAATTTGATCAGTTAGAAGTTATGATATATTTCTGTAGAAATATACCAGTAAGTGATGATTCATCTTTAAAGGATTACTTCACAGCCTTATAATTTAGAGATCTCAGCATTCAAAGGCAGAACTCCCTAAAACAGCTGGTCCACAGCATGGCTGGACCTTGCTGGCAGTTACAGAGGACTTGTTTCAGTCCAGGTGCCTATGAGCTGGGGACCTCCTACAGTTAAAGGAACTTCTATGAGCATATCTCATAAGGTTTTCTTTTGAGAAATCACATGCATGATATACCATGCATTCTGTTGCTCTCCTCAAAATCATCCGTGTGCTTAAAATCTCGTGGATCTTTATTGAGATACTTCTTAATATTGTCATCCAGATACCAAGATTCATTCTCATTAAATACCAAAAACAAGAGAGCAAATTCATAATCAACATCACTTCTTCTTCCTTTTTCATTCAACACTCCTTCTCTGCATATAATCAGAGGACCCATCAAACCACTGTATGTATCCTGAAAGAAAATAAAACTGAATTAGAAGAGACTTTAAATAATTTAATAACACAGATTAAGTGCTTGTAAGAAAGCCATTGTAAAAAGACTGAATACAAACTAAGTACTAAGAAGCCTTGAAAAAACAGGGTGATACTCGTGAAAATTTAGGAGTATTCCTGAAAATTTCCCATGGCGTAAGCTCCTTGAGAGCTGAGGCTGTGTCCCTCACTTTTCACTGCATCTCCAGAGATAGTTTTGTGTTTAGTACATAAAAGGTGGTCAATAAAGATATTCAGTGAATAAATGAATGCTTATTTCTATTTTTTCTGTTAGCTTTTCAAGTGAGTCTGTATTTGTAGCTATATACAGATGCTTATATCCCACTTCTTATGGGTAAAAGTGAACCAGGTGAGTAGCAAATGATACAGGACCATCAGTAACCTCCATACCAAGTTGTCCAGCCCAAACTTTCTTTTGGGGGAAAATTCCCACATTTCCAACTTCCTACTTAGATATTCCTCCTGCAACAATTAAATTTGTGAAGCATGTCCAAAGTGGACTTTTATTATTTCTCTCAAACCATTCCTTCTCCTGAATTCTCTATTTCTATTAACAGTGCTGTGATATTACCTGTCATTTAGACCAGAAAACTTGATTTCGGTGTTTAATTCCTCTTTCTTCCTAACTTTGTCCCATCTCATTTGCTGTCAAATCTTACTTTTATTTTTCCTTCACCATGCCCATCCATTCTGCAACTTCCTTTCCATTCTGTCTGCCACCCTTCTAGTGTAGGAGCTTACTTCCTCACCCTGGACTAGAGTTGGCTCCTCTATGGTCTCTGGTCACCTCACCTCACCTCCAGCCCTCCGGCTGACTGCCATCAGATTAATCTCATCACTCCCATATCTAGAAGTCCCCAGTGAATCTCCATGGTCTACTGAATAGAGTTTAAATACCGGGCAGGTCCCTAAACCCCTCATGTGCTACCCCAATGAGTGTCTCTAGTTTAAGCTCCTCTACTGCTTTCCTTTCGTATTACCCATTTGGCTAAATGGGATTCTCAGCGTTTCCCAAACACACCTGCTTTCCTAGTTTTGGCTTTGCTCACAATGCTTTCTCTTCCTAGACTCTCATTTCCCTGTACTCACCAGAACTCACCAGAACTCACCAGATTCAGAATTTTGTTACAATAATGAGTGTGTACTGTACTATTTCCCCCAAAGATTATAAGTTCCTTCAAGACAAGAATTTTTGCATTGCTCATAGTACTTGGTGGAGTCATTTGCAATCACATGTGTTTAATAAATATTTGTTGAGATGTACAAAGAATTAAAGAAATAAGAGTGCATTTCTCGTAATTCCAAAATGTAAGATTGTTTTTTGAAGTGTCTTGTATGTCACTCTGTAACTCTTGAACTATCCAGTACAACTCAAGGACATTAGTGCAGCCATCTAATGTTTAATAGGAAGGTTTTACTTTTTTAAAAGTATTTTTTATTGATCATGCTATTACAGTTTTTCCTATTTTCCCCCCTTTATCCCCCTTTCACCTGTCCCTCCAATCCTCCAGCATTCCCCTCCTTAGTTCATGTCCATGGGTTATACATATAAGTTCTTTGATTTCTCTGTTTCCTATACCATTTTTGGCTTCTCCCCATCTATTTTATGCTTACCAATTGTGCTTCTTATTCCCTGTACCTTCCCCCCATTCCTCCCCTGCCCCTCCCCACTGAAAACCCTACATGTGATCTCCATTCTGTGGTTCAGCTCCTGTTCTAGTTGTTTGATTAGTTTTTGTTTTTGTTGTTTTTCTTATTTTTTAGGTTCATTTGTTGATATTATGAATTTGTTGTCATTTGACTGTTCATAGTTTTTGATCTTCTTCAATTTCTTAGATAAGTCCCTTTAATGTTTCATATAATAATGGCTTGGTGATGGTGAACTCTAACTTGACTTTATCTGGGGAGCACTTTATCTGCCCTTCCATTTTAAATGAAAGCTTTGCTGGATAGAGTAATCTTGGATGTAGGTCCGTGCCTTTCATGACTTCGAATACTTTTTTTCCAGCTCCTTCTTGCCTACAAGGTTTCTTTAGAGAAATCAGCTGATGGCCTAATGGGAACTCCTTTATAGATAACTGTCTTCTTTCCTCTGGCTTCTTTTAAGATTCTCTCCTTATCTTTAGTCTTGGGTAATTTAATGATGATGTGCCTTGGTGTGTTCCTCTCTGGGTCCAACTTCTTGGAGACTCTCTGGGCTTCCTGGACTTCCTGGAAGTCTATTTCTTTCACCAGACTGGGGAAGTTTTCCTTCATTATTTGTTGAAATAAGTTTTCAATTTCTTGCTGTAGTTCTTCTCCTTCTGGCACCTCTATAATTTGGATATTGAACATTTCAAGTTGTCCCAGAGGTTCCTAAGCCTCTCTTCATGTTTTTGAATTCTTGTTTCTTCCTTTTCTTCTGGATGGATGTTTCTTTCTTTCTTTTGTTTCAAATTGTTGCTTTGAGTCCTGGTTTCCTTCCTGTCACTATTGGTTCCCTGAATATTTTGCTTTATTCCACTTGGGGTATCCTTCATTTGTTTTTTTATTTTTCGACCAAGATCAATCTCAGATCTGTGAGTATTTTGATTACCAGGGCTTTAAATTCTCCGTCAGATAGGTTGCCGATCTCCTCCTCCTTGCTTAGTTCTCTTTTTGAGGCTTTGCTGTGTTCTTTCATTCAGGCCCTATTTCTTTGTCTTGGTGCAGCTGATAGGTTGTAAGAGGGTGGGGCCTTAGGTATTCTCCCTGGCAGGGCAATCCTCCTTACAGCCCTGCACCACTGCTTGTCGGGGAGGGGCCAAAGAGGGAACAGTGCAGCCTGCCTACTCATCTCTAGCACTTTTCAATGTGTGAGACTGGGAGTTTCTCCCACCACACCAACCCCCACCATGGTCCACAGTCAGCTCTGAGTCTCAGTTTCCCCTTAAGTCAGTCCCTCCCTCACAGCCCACTGAGCTCGGCAGCCAGCTCCGCCCCCAAGGCTTCTGTGTCGCCTCAGTTTTTCTGAGTCGGCTGTGTGGTCTGCTGCCTTACTGGTCTGGTTGTTCTGGTTAATTTTTTCTTTAATTCCTTGGTTGTAGGATTTCTATGCAGTTTGATTTTCTGGTGATTTTGGATGTTTATTGATTTCAGGTTGGTTGATATCTTCCTTTTGGTTGTGTGAGGAAGCAGAGGGTATCTACCTATGCCTCCATCTTGAGTGGAACTTAATTTTTACTTTTCAAGTAATGGGCAATACTTACATTTTCTATCACGCATGACGTTAGTTTGGACTTTGATTTATGACATATAATTAAAGACTATTTGTTTTACCACATACATCTCCCACTCAAACAATAGTGAATCTTTGCCTTTAATTTCTATATAAAGTTAGCCTATTTATTATTCCAGTGGTCTATAGTTTCAGTTACTGTGCTTGGCCTGTGCTTTCTTTTTCTGAGCCCTGTGAGCAGTGGTAATGCCTTTAAAAAGGATGGATTGCACACATCAAAAACCATGGTATAAATTATATTAAAATATTTTTTATTTTATGGTTATTTATTTATATAACATCTTTGCTTCAAACTACTTTGTAATTTCTAAATTTAGAGATTGAAACATTGGGGTTTTATTTGTTCTTCCCCCTACTCTTTAGAGTAAGAGCCAACAAATTTTTATTTTCTGCAAAGCACCAGAGAGTAAATATTTTTTAACATTGTTGGTTATACGGATCCTTTCACAGCTTCTCAACTCAACCATAAAAAATGTAAAGAAATGGGCCTGGCTGTAGTTTAAGACCCCTGCTCTAAACCATTACATCCATCCCTTCATATATACCCACCAGAGTTGTGATGACTTAGTAGCTAACTCAAAGCCATATTACTATGAGCATTTCGCTTGCTCTCTCCACCTTACCTTCACAAAGTCTACTGTTGAATAGTAAACCCATGGAATACAATTTGGGTCAGATGGCCCTGGACCAGACCTTTCAGGGACATTCCATATGTAAGTTTTTATTTCTCCTGAAACAAATGAGAAGAAATAGAAAGGATTTACTAGTGTTACCTCTATTCCAGACGACTTAGCTGACAAAATACAAACAGGTTTTTATAAATTATGGCTGGGGAGAAGTACCCATTCATTAGAAAATGTTCCCATGAAACTCCTATCTTGATTTTCTGCAGTTTCAAAGTGGCAGATCTTTCATTTCAGACTATAGCCTTTCCTCTAGGTTGCTCTTTTTATTATTAACTCATGTTTATTCAGAAAATGAAGACTTAATTTATACCTCACTGCTTTTTTCCCCCTCAAATTTCATGTCTCTCTCCCAAGAGCAATGCTCCAGCTCGCTTGAGTTGCTGTGGCTTTCAGCCTTGGCTTCTTACAGAATCACCAGGAAGCTTTGTGAATTCTCACTGCTCAGGCCTCATCCCAAACCAATGAACTTAATGTCTGAGGTCTGGGAGTATGGCATCAGGGTTTTTGTTTTGGTTTGTTGTTGTTGTTGTTTTTTTGATTCTCAAGTGATTTTAATGTGCAGGCAGGTGAGATCTAGTTAGAACCAGAAAGAATCAGAGACACCTAGTCCAAATCTTGACCTAATGACTTTCTACTTCCCAAACTTTTGATGGGCTACTTAACCTCACAGACCTTTAGTTTCACTACTTATAAAGTGAGTCAGACTGTTGTGAGGGTAAGTGAAACTAAACACCTAGACTCTGGCCAGATGGCTAAGTTGGTTGGAGCATTGTCTCCAACAAACCAAACAAAATATTGCAGGTTTGATTCCAAGTCAGGGTGTGTAAGGGAGGCCACTGATCAATGTTTCTCTCTCTCTCTCCCCTCCTCTCTTTCTCTCCCTTCCTATCTCTCTAAAATCAATAAACACATTCTTGGGTGAGGATTAAGAAACAAAACCTAGGATAGAGCCTCACACTGAGCCAATAATGTTAATTTCTATATATATTAATAACAAATGTATGCACTCCCTGTTGCCAGGCATCTCTCTATGCATCATTGGTGGTCAATCCAGAGCCTTGCAGAGGAGTCACAAATATACTCATGAATTAACGAGATAAGCACATGGTAAAAGTGACAAATGAAAGCCACATCTCATTTTGAACTGTGTCCTATCCCCACCCATCAGAACAAACAACCTATAGCTGAATGTGAGCCACAGAGCAAAACAAATATAATGCTTACATGTACCTTTGCTCCATATGTGCTCATACACCAGTGGTTTAGCAATATAACTTTAGGTCTAATTTCCATGAGGTTTCATTATAGCCTTTATGCCTTGTTAATTGCAAGATAAACCACTGATATTTAGCTTCTTAAATACAAATGGCTACAGGGGTGGTATTATTAAAGCTGGAATAATCCAGCAGGAAGCACAGCTCTAACTAAAAAGAAGAGACTCAGAAATATTTTCTGAGTCATTTAATTATGAGAGAAAAACAAAAATTTGATAGGGGCTGCTTAGTGTGCTTCTGGTGCTAGTGTGCTCACCTTATCTCACGCACACCCAGGTTGACCTGTCTTGTCCAGTTTGCCTGGACTTCCTGCACAAAGTTAGTTTCTACCCCTGTCTCTGGGCTCTCCCAAACCTATCAGCCTGTCAGACCCTTGTGGGGATTCTCTCCTTCTGACTTTCAGTAAGAAAAATGCCCCTTTGTCACTTTCTAATCATTCTCCTCCTCACTCTGATAACCCTCACATCAAGAACTCTTTGAAGGCCAGCCAGCACAGAGGAGGTGTGTCACCCTCATGTCCTCAACATTAGGGTACAACAGCCTCACAGGTCACCCCAGCTTGTCCGCAGCTCTACCAGAGCCTCCAGAGCCTCATCGATGCTTGATTGACACCTTTCTTTCTCCCTCTGGACATGCTTTCAACCATCAAAAATGAATAACTTTATTTAATGGCTTTTTTGACCCATTTTAAAACATTTCCTTCTTCATCTAAGCAAGACACATACATTATAAAAATCTAAAAAGTACAATAAAATGTGAAGAAGTAGAAAAAAGTATCATTCTGCGACTCAAAATACCACCATAAAGATATAACCATTACTAACATTTTGGCTTATTTCCCTTGGGTCTTCTGTACTTGTATTTTGCTTAACATGATACCACAAGCATTTCCCATGTCATTCAAACCTTTGATTGATTGATTTGAGAGAGAGAGAGAAACATAGATTTGTTATTCCACTTATTTATGCATTCATTGGTTGATTCTTCTATGTGCCCTGACAAGCAAGCTTGGTGTATCAGGATCTCTACACCAACTGAACTACTTGGTCAGGGCCCAAACCTTCTTAAATGTCATGTAATAGCTGCACAACCGTCTAATGTAAGGATATTCTAGAATTTAATATTTTCCTGTAGATAGACATGTAGGATGTTTATGAAGAGTTTCTTGAAGCAGCAAAACATAGGCTTCTGCTACTAGGGGTGGGGTGGAGTGGGTGTGGCAGAGGTTAGGATAGTGGTGGATGAAGATTTTCCTTCCCCTAACCCCATTCTTGTAGAGGTACCTTGCTAACTTTTTTCAGTGATGCATGAGATTGTTTTCTTTTCTTTTTTTTATACATCTTTAACTTTTTAAAGTTTTTGTCACTCTTACTGTAATTACTATAGTGTTAAGTATTATAATGTTACTATGCATAAGAAGTAAAATGGAATATAACTCCCTTGTAATTATACCTATGGTTGGTGTCAATTTCATAACTCAAGGTCACAGTGGTTCTTCACAATCATTACAACCACATTACAACTGTATAAATGTTATGGGAAGCTGCTTAAATTTTGAGATCTTCTTTCCCTTCGGTGCATCTTTCAAAACTCAACTGGATCTCTACCTCCTTTATAAAGCTTTACCTAATTACTCCTTTTCCTAAGGACTCCTACCTAATCAATCAGTCTTCATTGATTTTCCTTCTCTGAAACTTTTATAAACACATCCAGACATATTCTTAAAATTCTTCACCACTTAGAATTTCATTATGTAAAACCCACACTGCTACTGAAATGGTTCATCTTGTTTGTCCTTTTTTCTTCGGACCTCATTTGAAGTGTCTTGAGAGAAATGTGTTGGTAAGAGGGCAGGTTCTAACGTCAAACAAACTGGGGCTTCCCCATTGCCAATGTATGACCTTGTCAAGCTCTTTGCTCCTCTGCGCTTTTGCTGTCTGTTAAATGGATATGATGCCATATTTCATCAATTGTAAGGTGAACATTTTTCACAATTTAATATAACTGAAGTCAGGATGTATTTTTCAATCAGTGGTTAATTGGCAGCCAATTTTTTTTCTGTTTTTAGAAACATAAGATAAATGAGATTTTTTTAATATAAAGCACAGCACCTGGCACAGTGTTAACACTCAATGTATGTTAACTATTATTACACCTTAGTAAGTTTTTAGGTCCCTAATGGACCCTAGGACCTCCATCAACATTTGGTCATTGGATGAATGATGATCTCATGTTGGGAGGGAATACATGATAGCAGGAATACATTAACGTTAATATGAGGTCTTCAAGGCTCTTCAGAGATCAGAAAAGAGTTGAGTCTGGTGTCCTCATCAGGACAAAGCAAAACTCTGGGGTAACTTACCTGGCTTTGTCATGGGAACTTGGAGTCGCTTTCCCCTCTCTGTGTCCTCTACACCATGCGCTGAGATGGAGTAGGGCCGATTGGCTTTGTTCTTAAATATGATCAGGAGAGAGTCACCCACCTCAGCATGCATCATTGGGCCTAAAGGCAGAACACAGGTCTGTGTGCATTACCATTGCTCTTTTCAACACTGATGTAATTTAAATGTAGGTAGTATTTGGCAAAATAAAACAAACAGTTTCTTCATTAATGTATTTCCTTTAGAGGGCCACATATGCAGTATTAAATAGCATGTCATTTTGGCAATTGGATCAATTTGGATCCAAATCCTGCCTTCTTCACTTATGAGAGAAGCCTTGCAGTCAAGGCTTGCCTGAGTCTCAAATTTCTCTTCCATTAGATGGGTTTGATTGTACTTTTCTTATAGGATTAAATAAGTTAATGTATGTACAGTACATTATTTCAGTACATTAAAATACAGTAATAAATGTGTAAATTTTTACTACTGCTTAGACATAATCCCCAGGAAAAAGTATATCTGTGATATGAAGACTTTCAGTTGTAATCTCCTTGAATGTAACCTTTGTTAAATCTGAAATTGCTCACTATCTGGTAAATAGATTTATGATGATGATAATGATGACGACGATAATCCAATAAAATGATGTGTATAAAAGGTATTCAAAAGATAAGAACAGAATTAAAACATTTATATACTGATTTATGATCTATACAGTGATTTCACTAATGCATGTCCAATGCTGTTTCTCAGTATTCAGTTACCTGATGAGATGTCTCTTTTCAGTTCTTCATATGTACACACTTCTATTACAAGCAACCAGCTTGTATGTCAGTGGAAATAGTTCCGCACCCCACTGGAGAAGCCTGTGCCAGCATGACTATGGGATGTGTATCGCCCATGCCAGGGGCCTTTCACCTCTTGGTGCCCAGAATGCAGCCCATGCAGCTTGCCCAGCCCATACACCACATTGACAGAGCATTTCACACACAGCGGTCTTTGCAAGGCACTGCCTTGAGGGGGTTGGAAACAGACTCCCATTTGGGAAGTGCCTCAGACCTATCCCCTATTCATTCACATTCTTGGGCATTTATTGCATTCTACATTCATAGGGAGTTATACACATGGCAGGGGCCTCACCATACCCACCCATTCATTACTGATTCAGACCATGGTTTTAATTGCTTTTTTTAAAAAGATCGCTGAAGCTCTAACAAAATAAATCTAAATATTTTTTACTATTATTATCTTGGAAGGAAATAGTATGAATCAGAAAATGTATGAAAATGCTCTTTTTTTAAAAAAATGATAAAGCTGGAAATTTCTAGGCTTGTTTGTAAACAGTAAGTTTGGGTATAATTACAGATAGCAGCATCTGTGTGAATAAATGAAAATCACTGCTTGTATATTTGTACCACTTAAATTGCACAGGCCTTGCTGTACTGGTGAGCTACAGCAAATGCTTTCTGACTTATGACCTGGCAGGTCACAGGGAGCAGTAATTAGCAGTAATGTGCCTGCTTAGTGCCCTTTGTAACTGCAGGAGCGCAGGCCTTGCCCCAAGCTGCAGAAATGAGTAGACGGGCCTCTTGCTCTCCCGGCTGAAGGGCTGCTGGGCTTGCCTCTGATGGAACCACTCGTTTGTGTCATTTTACAGAGCAGACCAAAGGGGGCTCTTTGAAGGGCAACCCAGCCCCCTTGGCAGAACCAGTATCTTTTCTTCAGAGCTCAGTTGACACCCACAAGTTTCAGAAGGAGGAACATTCCCACTGGGGCTGACTTTATTTAGTGTGACAAGCTTGTGTGTCAGTTATTAATAGACAGTGAAGGTGTGGTGTAGGTGGGTTGGGCATTTAGTAATTCATAAAGCTAGCAGTCATGTGAAGTCATACTCTTCACATAAGCACTGTGTAAAGCCATACTTTGTACATAAGTTACCCTGTGTATTTACAAAGGGGAGCTCGTTTTGAGAAAGTCATCTAGATTAGCCCTCTGCCTTAACATCTCATCTTCATGGTGGAATCAGGTCTGGTGAACTTCAGATGGAGAAAAGTGGGAAGGAAGGCAGGAAGAGTTTATTTGATTGCCAGGTCAGCTTGTCCAGGGCATCAGACAGGCAGAGTGGGTCTGAGAAACCCATGAGTTAGTGCCTCCCAAACTGAAACCAAGCCTTTCATTCTTAGCACCCCTCTCACATTAGGGGTTCCTCTTTTGTCACAATTATTTTTATGTGTGTTGTTATGATCCTGGGTATGAATAATCAAGGACCTTAAGTTATGCAAACACTCAGTCTGCTGTTCTAGGCATCAAATTGCCTGGCTCAGCAGAGGAGTGGAAAAAGAACTTCAGGGCAACAGACAGGTTAGACTGCCCTGATGATATGGATTCCTGTTGCGTGTTATCTGGAAGGCTTACCATAACTATTCTTTGGATGGGCTGAGCACACAGCATGCTCCCTGAAAATGGGAGAGCAGGAAGAGGTCGCACTTGGCTGAATATAGTCAGGCTACTCTGTTCCTTTCCTCCATTCTCAGGTGTAAGTCTAATGGACTTGTGTGTGTGTGCGTGTGTGTGTGTGAGTGCATGCATGTGTGAGCTGCTGTCTGTGCCATACCCAGCAGTTCCAAGTGCTGTTCTTGCGGTGGTCGGGCTTTGATCTCCACAAATTCTCCATTGGTGTATTCCCTGTAAACCACCTTCTTGTACTGAGAGCCAATCCAGTTTTCAGTGTGGTTCATAAATATATCTCCGTGTCTGCAAATCAGAAGCATCAGAAATTAAAGTTATCAGATGGTAGAAAAACTTTGAGTGCTTCAAAGTGATTCGGGGTTACTCTGGGGTAGTGCTTCCTAAACCCGCCTGTGATCAGCATCTCCCCGGGGAACTGGCTTATTGCACCAAGCTGTCTAGGTGTGGGGCACCAAATATGCACTTGAAAGCATTCAGGGGGTTCTGCTGTGGGCAGCCCAGCACTAGTTCATGGCCCACTCTTGGAAACCATGGAACCACTGCTCTCAGCTGAGTGATGAATAGGGTCAGTCTTAGTTAGAGACTGCTAAGGGCCCCTTGAGGTTATACTTCTCTTCTTGGGACTAACCGATGTCACATACATGCCCATATGTGCACACACCCACACTCTACTATCCTGTATTCCTCCAGATTGTATGTGTTATCATTCTGTGTCTTGTTATGCTTTCCCACTTGGAAAGATCTCAAGAATGCCTCTGGTCTGTGTTTGTGCATATGCTCATGTACAAATATAGATACAGTTGATTCTTGTTAATCACCGTAATTATGTTCTAGAGAATCACCGCAAACACTAAACTGGCAAATACTGAACCACTGTACCTAGTGGAAATATAGGGCTAGATTCTGTCTAACTTCTAGCCACAACATTTTCATCAACAGATCAATATACAACCTTGTTTTATGTGTGTTTCTGTTTAAAGACATCTTATTTAAAATATACTTCTCATTCATTAACATTGAGTTTACAACTAACAGCCATATAACTTGTGCCTGAATGAAGCTGGTCTAAAACATGTATTTCCTCTATAAGGCCTCTTGAGCATTCAAACACTAGACAGCACTGTGTTGGAGGGTATTTAAAACAGCTAAATCACTGAGAAACATAAAAATGCAAAAAAACCCCATGGCACTAAATAAGCCACAAAATGAACACTTGTTTACAGTGTGAGATCAGACACAAGAAGGCAGAGCACTGCTTTGTGTGACCTCACCTGGGAACATGCATATTAGCTGACACAAAATTGTTGCTGCTTTATGTGTATCTGCAAATGGTTGCAAAAGCACCACAAGAATTGATTTAGGGGGTACAAATAAATTTTAGTGAACAAGCCCAAACATGGAACCCACCAATAATGAAGACTGACCGTATATTTAATCTATCAACAAGATAGACCATCACAAAAAAGGAAAAAATGTATCAGTTTTATCTTTAAAACATAGTATAACTCATATACTTCCATCTCTCTTGCGACACTGTCCACACTCCAGTCTAAGACACCATCACTCACCTGCAATGACTGGAATTGTTCCTAATCATTCTCCCTGCCACCTACATTGCTCCCCTTCCTCTATTCTCTACCCTGCAGGCAGTGGCCCTAAACAATAAATTCGACCAAGCTGGTCTTTGTGGAAAGCCTTCTTATGGCTTCCCATTGCCAAACTCCTCAAACTGGATCTGACTCCACCACTCCACTAGCTGCCTCTGCCAGCCTCCATGCCTTGTTTCTCATCACTGGTCCCCACATAGTCTATGCTTGGGTCATTCTAAACCCTACATCTCTTGAATACCATGTGACTTCCCTGTCTCCACGCCTTACATGTGCTGTTCCCTTGGCCAAGGGCACAGTTCCTACCACTTCAATTTGTTTACTCCTTATGTTCCAGGTCAAAGACTCCTTCCTCCTAGAAGCTATTCCCAATCACTTGCCCTATCCCACCTTTCCCCCAGATGGAGCTATGCAGTCCTGCCTTGCTTTCCTGCTGCACCCTGCACTCCCCTCTCATAGTGACTGCCTCACTCAATATGCTTGTCCTAATGTCTTCCCCGTGGACCATGACATCTGTATGGAAAAGTACCTTGTCTGCCCTTCTCAGCACTGTTTCACCAGCACTTTGCACAATGCATAGCACACAGTAGGCATTTAACAAATGCATATATACCTTCTACTCTACACTGTATGTTTTCCAAGGGAAGAGAATTTTTCTTCTACTTTTATTTTCCAGGAGTTCTAGTAACACTGAGGTGACAAGCACAGACTCTGGAGCCACACTCTGCTCTTTTCCAACTTTCTTTTCCTGCAGATGCAGTGATATTAACGCATCTAGCTCTCAGGATTGGTGTGAGGATTATACAAGATAACATCTGTAAAGCACTGTGTCAGACAAGTATTAAGCACCTGCTTAATGTAAGTGCCTGCTCTATCATTATCTCTTTAGGGTGTCATGTTGATACTGGGCCAAAGCTGATCAAATGGGTCAAGTATGTTGTGAGGGTCATACTAGAGTTCATCAAAGCCCTAGCAAAATGCCTGGATCATGGTGGGTACTCATTAAATGGTGGTTATTATCTTGAATCTTGGGTTAGTTAACTATCAGTCCATAAGCTCAGAAATACTAGGAATACAATTTTATTTCTCTATAGCAATTTAACCTCTGTTTTCAAATTCCCTCCCACTGCATAAACCCTGACATGTGCTAATGGTCATATTTGTTGCCTTTTGGGATCCTTAGGCTTTCCTAGTGTGTTCTTAGGAAGCCCCAGGGAAAGGCTTCCAGGTCCCATATGTGCTGGCCAGGGCAATAAATGTCTCAGGGATAACTTGTACCCAGAGGTGATTTGAAAACCAGATGTGACCCATGCTATGGCCTTGGGTCAAAGGGCAGAGGAATAACAACTGGGGTGTAGAAGGGGCATTTGTTCCTGAGCTCCTATCTACAGGGGTGCCACAGATGTGCCACTAGGGGAACTTGTTCCAATTCTGTACTGTGTTTTTATTGACAGATTGGTTGTACTTTGAACATGCTCTCATTTCACTTTGCTTTCATTCATTCATTTATAGACAATATCCATAGCAGCAGGGACAGGGTGCAAGCATACTCAGCACCTTCTATCTCTCTGTATAACTTGGGAGACAATCCCAGAAGACTGAAGCTAGAACTTGTTGCCAGCCCAGAGAGTTGCAGGCGGTGGGGGGGGAGGGGAGGATATTACTTAATACTGAAATTACACAGAGTTTCAAGAAAATAAGGAAGGCTATGTATCTTACACACTCATGGGCTAAGATTGTACATGCAACAAAATTATTATACTTCTTTAGTTGTGGTAGCATTTTAAAAGAATAATCATGTTAGAAAAGGCCAAATTAGTAGTATTCATTTCCTCTTCCACAGAACCAACCTGGTCTTTAGCTTACACTGGCAGCACTGGTTTTGCATGAGAGGAGTGTATGGTTTAACAAATGGGTTGGTGAATAATCAAATTAATTTTAGGTGTCCTGTCCTTGAGGCAAACCTTTTTAAAATGAAGATTCATTCCTTTTTTCATTTATCCATAAGGTGGCGCTGTTATACTCTCTATTCCGGAGTCTGAACCCTCAAAAACAGAGGACAAGGTAGAAGAGAAACGAGTGATCAGGAATAGTTGCCTGTCGTGGAGTTTGTGTGCGGCATAGCCATAGAGGATAAGTATGAACGGTGTGGAAGGAGAGGGAAGGGAGGGTGACAGTAAAGAACCAGGAGGACAGGGGCACAAAGTCCACATGTGGTGGTGGAGAGAACACAGGTCTGTGTTCAATTCCAACTCTGCCAATGAACAATTGGACCATTTTAACTCTCTGCATCAAAATCTCCAAAGTCTATATAATGGAGACAGTGATGCCCAAACAGAAGGTAGTTGTTAAGTGGAGGCGGGTATGAAAATTGAGAAAGAAAGTCTGCACGTCTGGTGCCACTGTATGTTGCCTGATTCTACCCCAGTGCAACCTGGGAGCTTAGGGTGGGTAGAGGACCAGTGCTCACCAGCCTGAAGGGGGCTTGAGCCTTGCTGATTCTTTGCTGCTTAGCATGGCTGACAGTGCTTTCATGGGAGGATCAGTCTTTGCGGGCTTTTAGGTACAGGGCCTATTAGAGGAGACCTGCTCCTCCTATCCTGCCCACTGCTGAGTTGTCCTCCACCTGATCAGCGCTTATAAAGTCAATGGCCCATTCTCAGTCCCCCTTGCCTGCAGTCCTCAATCTATAGCAGTCCATCATTTCACCCATATCTGCACACCATCTCTGCTGCCTGCTGCACTCTTTTGTCTTCCATTTCCCACAACCATGGTGGATCTGCCTCTTTCCCTAAATCCTTTCACTCCAGACACTCACTCAAAGGCACATTCATTTGTCCACGGCCACATGCAGAACCAGCCACTGCTGGCAGAGGTATACTGAGCCTGCCACGTGAGTGTCTTCAAAACGACTTCTGATCCCCTTCCCGGGATGGAGATGGACAGATCTCCTAATCTTTTGTATTCATAGTGAAAGTCTCTGCCGCAACTGTGCCGGCAAAACAGGGCATTCTTAGGTTTCCACATTTGATAAACGTATGCAGAGCATGCGCAATCCCACCCAAGAGACTTGGAGGCTTCGCGCGTGGTACCTTTCCCCTCTTGCGTCCAAGTGCTGCTTTTCGAACTCCCAGTTTTTGTTAGGGGCATAATCCCATTCTACCTCTTCAGCGGCGATGTAAAAGGTTCTTATCATCCCATACAGCTGCTCTGAAGGGTCCCTGTGGCCACAGCTGTTGACCTCATACATCTGATTCATGCCTCTGGTGAAGTGGTGCATGGTGGAACAAAACACCCTGAAAATACCTGGAAGAGAAATGGCTCGGCATTGGGTGTGGTGGCCGATTGTGGTTTTGCTGTTGTTCTTGGTTTGTTGTTGTTCTTGTTAGCAAACTTATTTATTCCAAAATAAGTAACCAGGAAGGAAGATTTTAAAACATCAGTTTTATGTAGTATTTTAAAATCAGACCCTAAGGGGAATGAATTACTTTGAATATATTTATTTATGGAAAAAATACCATCTGAAACTCATTTTAATGGAAAAATAAAACTTGTAAAGCTGCTGCCAAGAAGTGATTTCTCTGGGCTTTCCCTGTGGTGCACACCTGTTAGAAGACAGTCACTCCTGGAAAATCAGATAGGTATGATTATCTTAGCCCAAACCAGATCAGTTTAAACAGAACTAATTACCTGTAAGATTAATATCCTAGACAAAGTGCAAATTAGGACACATTTCTGAAGTCATGTATTTGCCCTAAAGGATTTCATAAACTATAAAGTACAACACACAAGTAAGGTATTATTATTATTAAAGTCAAATGTATACTTCTTTAAGTCTTTGAGCAAAGGCGATTCTCTACACTATGCCAGATGGGAAGTAAAAAAAAAAGTCAATTAGATTTTCCCACATACTGCGAACAATCATGTATGACTGAGAATTATGTAATTTTTAAACTGAATTTTGTAGATGCATTGTCATCAGGCATATATTTCTTAATTGAACTCACTATAAAATCATATAAAACAAAACTGTTAGAGGACATTAACTCTCAATGAAATTATTTTACCAATAAATCTTTTCTTCCTCTAATAGATACTGTTCTTAGAGGTAATTACTGCAGCTCTCATTAACTATCTGCAATGCACAGAGATGCCTTTCTTCATGCTCCACAGGTCTACTTATTGCCAAATTATCCCTTCAGGATGAGTGAAAATCATTGGTTCACTGGGTACCCTCACACCTCCAGGCACTGGTGAGGACCCTTATGAGGAAGGGACTCTGTGAAACCACAGGGGAAACACCTTTGAGAACAGACTTGGAAAGAGCTGCTTCTGCATATGTTGCATTCATCATGTTCTTCAAGAGTCAAGGAATTATATTCTCTCAGAACCAAAAGGAGTTTAAGGCCTTGTTTGTGGTGGTGGTTTCAGAGATGTATACTTATCTCCAACTAGTTCATTTGTATATATTAAATATGTACACATTTTTGTATATCACTCACTGCTCGATAGAATGGTTTTACAAAAAAGAAAAATAAAATGTTTGAGTTGCAGACTGTGGTCTACTCTGCCCATGTTTGGGGTGCTCTGTTTTGCTGGTAGGTAACGGATGGAAATGGTGAAACAACCCAGCTTTTAAAAAGTTACAGATTTATACTTAGCACCAAACATAAATAGGAAACCATTGTCATAAAGCTTTTTAGAAACCTATAAGGCACATGAATAATTCTCAAGGCATTGGAAGGAGTAGCCTCTAAAAGTCAACTCTAGCTTTGAATGGTTTCAATGAATTAAAACCATTTGGCTACTTACCTTACCTCCCTTTTTTGGTTTTGAAGAGTAAAATTGAAAAAAAAATTGTGCTCAAAGCATCCCTTGGTTTGGGTGATTCATAATTGAACAACTATATTAATATAGAAAGGTTGAATACTAGGAGTTTACAGGCAAGGATTATGGAGCTCCTACTCTCAGGCAATTATTGGGCAAAAGTTTTGAAGGCCAGACTTTGAGTTTTTAACCAATGGCACAGGGAGGCATCTACACTGCAGCTTCATTGTTAATTTAAGAAGTAAACATCCATTCACGAAGGAGGCAGAGTTAGCAAGTACTCATCTGATGTAGCATATTGGTTTCTCTTTTTTAAAAAATGAAAATGTTGGGTATAGAAATGTACTGAAAGCCAATAGCACTTGCTATCCTTATTTTTCATGCATCAGTAAGGATATGCTGCCATGTCTCTCATGTGTCTTTATACATCTCATAAAAGCATCTCAAATACCCAATTGGCTCAGGAATCTCCAAAGAAGAGACAGGTGCGGGCACTTCACTGAGCCTTCCATGGACATCAGCCCCAGTACAGCTTATCCTCTGGGGAAACCAAGGCTGCCCAACAGAATGAAGATAGAGAAGCCCTTGATAACTCTTCAAAAAGGCACTACCAATCTCTAGAGAAGGCAGACCAGACCATGTGTATAACCTAAAAGCATTCATTGGGCCATCCGTGCTTGGTAAGATACTTCAGAGCAGCAACTAAAATGATATTTGTGGTTAAAGAAAACCACAAATTGTTCATGGATATGAATCAAGAGCATTTTTCTAAGTATGACAAGGTCATTTAGAGCAAAAGTCCCCAACATTTTTGGCACCAGGAACGGGTTTCCTGGAAGACAATTTTTCCATGGACCCCACTGGTGGTGGGTGGTTTTGGGATGATTCAAAGGCATTCATTACATTCCAGCTCACCTCCTGCTGTGCGGGCCTATTCCTAACAGGACCAGACCAGTACCAGTCTGCAGCCCAGAGGTTGGGGACCCCTATATAGAAGGCTCTCACTTTTGTTTTGTGGATGCTATTTTAGATGCTTCTCCTTTGTCCTTTACCCTGTGTGTTTGGAATAAAACAGGATTCTTTGAGTCTAAGCTAGACTATACCTCTTTCTACACACCCTGAAGTGTCCAAATTTGACCAGTTTCTTCTGGGGAAGACCTTAAGAGTATAAGCCTGAAGATAGAACTTTGGTCACTTGCCAAGTTTACCTGCATAGTCCGGCTGCATGAACACTGTGGTAGACAGGTGGGGAAACAGGGCCAAGGTGTCACGGTGAGTCCCTCGTAGGTGGATGGTGTTGCCTTGAAAATAAACTCCATGCATGTCGGTGTCAGTGCCCATTCCAATCATATGCCAGGAAACTCTGTCCTTTTTGCACATGTTTAGGCCTGGCTGGTTGCCATACATATAACCATTAATAGCTAAATGGAAGGAAAGACATAATCAGAGTGCACTATTATTTTGTAGATGTACTGAAGAGACATCAGCTTAGTGAAAAGATTATCAGTATGTATGGAGATGGGGTGTTCAGGTGTTCAAACTCTTTACAGAAAATTCTTATTATCAGAGAAAAATAGTACTTGGAAAAAATCACATGGTGAATCAATTTCAAATGGAAAGTGAAATTAAGCATAAATAATGAAATATACTAAAATTGTGAAAATGTTATATTTAACAACATACACACAAGGGCATGCATGAATTCTAAGAATTAATAAGGAATAAATCAGGTTGTTTTCTGGCATCATTTCTTTCTGATAAAATTGTTTCCTGGTATAATATTCTTTGCTTTAGAATATAGTTTTGCAGGTTATAAAGAGGATAATCCTTATAAAACAATTTATGGACTTTACCAACTTCCCCTAAATCTTCTCTAAAATTCTTCATATGAAAATAATTTTTTTGAGATTCTTATCCTGTCATCTCCTTTGTTAAATGTTTTTTTCTTAGTTACTAATTCATTTAATTTTGTCAGATCCTTATTTGTCAATGGTTTGCATGATTCTAGAAGTTATTGAATATCCCTTTACTAACTTCTTGGGCCCTGCATTATGTAAAAGATTTGCAATCAACTGGCATTATACCGGCTATTTTGTCAGTGGAGTGGAATTTTTGGGGTGGTGGTGAGGGAGAGGAACACTAAGTTTATAAGAAGGTAGTCTTTATGTAAATAATTTTGCCTTATGATAATTTTCCCACCTCAGTAAAATAACTGAAAGAACTTGGAATACTGCTTACTTAGATAGGAAGACCCTCTGTACTTCTAGAGATGCAAATTGTTTTTGTCTTTTACATCAACCTCAATCCATTGATAATGGCTACCTGGAGCAGTGCAGGGAGAAGAATTTACAAACCATGCTCTCTTTCTGTGGGGGGATGGATGTCATGCCTGAACAGCACTGTCTGAGGGGTAACTGCACATAATTATGTCTCATGCTTAATGTCCATTTCATCCCCACCTCCACTCCTTACTAATGCCCATAGTAGGAAAAAAACAACTATTACACCCTGCATGATCTTCTGTTACATAATCCCATTGTCAAACAAAACTGCTTCTTATTCCTGTGTTTGCAGGCCCAGTGGTGTTTGGTAATTTTACTCAGGCATCTGAGATTATTAGTAGAAATTCCAAGAAGCCCCGGGGCTTCTTAGAAGAACATCTCATTTTCTGAGAAAAAAAAATCTTTGATAATGCTTTTGCAAATAAATTATCAAAATCTTGTCCATTTAATATCAAAGAGATATCATTACAATAACTTAGTCCCTGATTGGCTGATGGAGAATTTTCTCTTGCCCTGGAACTCTACTTTGAAGCCTCTCTTTCTGGAACATTCACTCCTCATTCAGCAATGCCTTTGAATATAGTAGGTGCCATGCAAAGCACTGTATACCACATGAGGCACTTTCTCTGTGGTGTTGTTGCCATCTTTCTTCCTCCCACTCCATGCAAGCAAGACTGGAGGGAGAAGTTAATTTGTAATTAATGTAAAATTTAAATGAAAATACATCATTTTCCTTGAATTTTGTTTTTAAAATGACATATTCTGCATGTCCAATATATGAAAACTTATTTCACATTTCCAAACCAGGATGGGGCTATATTTGACATGGTCCTTTTCAAACTTAATGATGTCATCCTGAACCTAAGGGAAGGCAGTTTTTCAGTAATTTTATACAATTATGATGCATTGTGATTTTTGCTAGTTCAAATTTTGTGTTGCTTCATCTAAGGCTGATAGAGTGTTTTAGGAGTATTCATTAAGTTGACAGTATCTGCGGGTTGTGAGATTTCACCATATACCTGGTGAGGCTGAAGCCATGAAATAATTTACTCGTGCAAGAACCATACCCAAGAAACTAAAAACTAAGATAGTTAAAAACAGTCCAAACGTTTTCACTTCAAGTGCAATTATGCTTTTCTTACAGGAGGAAAGTCATTTTTCATACCATGCATCCGGTTGGACTTCACAAACTCTTTGTCTTCTTTGTCAACACTGAAGGGATGCAGGGTAAACTTAATGTTTTCATCAAGATACCGACTCAGATTCTCATCAAAGACTGTGAATAGTAGGTAAAATTCCTTGTCTATTCCTTTCTACAGAGGAGAGAGAAATGAACATATAAAAAGTACAGCTTGGAGGAATTCTTAGCTCTGTATTACTATTAAAGTTAATAAAAAGTAGTAAAGATCATCCTCAGCCACAGATTAACTGGATACTTTTATAAATCAGGATTCTGAGAATGATTCTGATAAATTTACTATATACTCCCAAAATTCATCTTTCTCATCATATCCTTCCTCTTCCCCGTGTGGGAAATAAGTTCTTGCTCAGAAAATCTTCTACTTTGTGGTACTGCTGCTGTCAGGCTGGTGGTCATGGTCTTATTCTCCTGACTGTGGCCTTCAAGTCCTGGTCCTGGTGGCCTCTCTCTCACCACAGTTGCATGCCATCACACTCACCCCCTACTCACTCTAGACATGCTGGCCTTTTGCTTTCCATGGAAACAGCAACCTTACTCAATCCTGCCCCAGGGCCTTTTCATGTGTGGTTTCCACTGCCAGGAAGGTTCTCCCAAGAAGGTTTTGCTTGGGTCACCCCCTTACTCCACCCAGTTCTCTGCACAAATGTCACCTGCTGAAGGTGCCCTTCCCTGACCACCCTGTTTGAAATAGTCACTTACTTTCCACTCTGCCTGCAAACTCACCCACTCTACCTTACTTTGCTCTTCAAAGCACATAGCTGTACCTGAAATTATATCTTGTTTATAAACATATTTTTATTGTTTTCTCACAACATATTTTTTATCATGAAGGTAGGAACATTTGGGGTTTTTATCTCCATCTCCAGCTCGAAGAAACATTCCTGGAAAAGCAGGCACCCAATACATGTTTATGAGTGAAATAATGTATTCAGATAACCCATGAGATTTTGCTATATTTTGCTAACTTGAGCTGACATTGAGGAGACTATGGATTACTTCCCACCTTGTATATTTTTAACCCATCTATTTGAGCATATCTGACCACACAGCATTTTTTTTCATCCTCGTTGGAGGACATTTTTTTCCATTGCTTTTAGAGAGAGGAAGAGACAGAGAGAAATACTGATTAGTTGCTTTTGTGTGCACACAGACCAGGGATCACACACACCTGGACCAAGGATCAAACTTGCAACCTAGGTATGTGCCCTGACAGGGAATCGAACCCACAACCTTTCGTTGACAGGATGATACTCCAAGCAGCTGAGCTACACTGTTCAGGGTCACACAACATCTTGGATTGCTGAAATATGCTTTTCTTTAAAGCAGAATAGACAAGGGACTGTATTTTCTGTCCCTCAATGTATTTCTTCCCTTACATGGTCTTATCTAATTCAGTCTTCACCTTGCTGCCTGTTCCAGAGAGATCCTCAGCAGTGCCATCTGATCACATCTCTCTTCTTCTTAAACTGGACAATATGATCTAAACTCACAGTGATTTGGCCCTTGCCTGCCTGTACAGCCTCATTTCTCAGTCCTTCCCTCCTGGCACGTCAACCAAAGAGAGGCCTAGCTCCTTGCAGCAATCTGAACTTCCTGTGTTCTGGAGGCCTCTGTCCTTCATGCATGTATCATTTAACTTTGACGGTCTGCCACCCTAATGCAGCCTCAAGGGCCAGCTTTACTGTCCCATCTATCTAATGCTTTCCTAATGCCTCATTGAAGACATGGATACTCCTTGCTTTATGCTTGTATTATGCTTTTACACTTACTGCTTTTATCTCACGGTGTTTTAGAAAATAGTAGTTTAAGATAATTGACTATAGAAAGAAAGAGTGTAGGCTTGAAAGTTGTCAAAATGAAATATAAAAAAATTGAGGGGAGATAAGGGTCAGAACTATATTTTTAAAGATTACAGGTTATGGGAACAGGCAGACCTAGGTTCTAATGCCATTATTTTTTCATGATTTTATGTAAGTGGACTGACCACTAATGGTATTTGGCTCAGGTAACAACTCCTGGAGACTAGGATGCTTCCAGCAAATCTCAAATTTACAACTGAATGGATGCAACAGGGATAAAATCAGAAGTACCTAATGAAATGTTTCTGGCACTCAATTTTTTTTTTGGCTCAGGTATTTATCTAGTAGGAAGCAGGGTAGTATACTGAAAAAAAAAAATCAAAGTTGGATGCTCAGAGTTCTGTGTTCTACTGCTGACTACCACTACTTACTTAGATGTGCTTCCTAGGACATCACTCAATGTTTCTGAGCCTCAGTTTCTTCAGCTTTAAAATAGGGATAACCATTCTGCTTTGCCTTATGTGACTGTTGTGGTACAGTGTAAGTATTCAGTCTTATTGAAAAGCATTATTGAGGGCCATTCAGAGGGCCAGAGACAATTGAACCTCCTAATAGACAGTTCCAGGATTGGTCCTTTGCACAGGGAAATGAAAACGTGAGGTGGACCAAGAAACTTTGTGTTTTCTACCTAGAAGTTCCTTTGAGCCTAGAAATGGGTCCATATGATGCCAAATGTTATAAAATATACCATTTAAATAAATAATTTTGCCATTTTGGGTTGGTGAAGTAATTTCAAATAATTAAATGACTGGATTTTCCTCTTTTCATAAATGTGTTTAATATGTAGATGCAGCTTGGAATGCTATATTTTGCCACATTAATCAGTGCAGCTATCCAAAGCTGTGAGATGGGACTTGCCAGAAGTTGTCTACATGTGTCTTGTTCCTTCAGCCATCAGGATTAACTTCCAGTTTGCAGTGACAAGTAAATGGTGGTTCTCAACCCTGGCTGCACATTGGAATCACCTGGAGATTCTGATGCACTTGGTCTTGAACACATGAATAAAAGATGTTTAAAAGGTCCCAGGTGATTCTTTTGGGTGGCCAAGTTTGAGAAACCTTGTCAAAGGAGAAAGGATCCCAATTTGCCTTCCATGTAGATCTCATAAGATTCTAGAATCAAAGCAACTCACAGGAAGAGACCTACCAAATCCCAGCCAACAAGCAGAAACCCTGGGTTTCTTGGTAGGCATCTGTAACTCAGGAGAATCAGAATGTAAATTTACAAAAAACCAAAATTCCCATTACGTAGCAGTCAATTTTAATAGGAAGAAGGAGAGATTGCTTTTTGTAACTGACTTTATTTTGATCTTATCTCTAGCCATATTACTGATTTTTCCTACATACACCCCTGAGAAGAACTTGGTAACATTTGGTGACTTACCTGTGTCCCATCAGCATTGAGAACACCTTTCTTACAGACTAGCAAAGGCCCTACAAGGCCAGAGCTGGTGTCCTTGATTGGCTCAACTGCTGAGAAGTAAAGATAGGTCAGACAGGGAGGATCACCAGCTGTTGGGCTTACACTTCCAGGCACCGTCCATCTGTATGTGAAGGTTTCACCTGGCTTAACATGTGCCCCTGGTTTCACAAATCCTGAGGATATAAATGAAACAATTTCTCAAAGCAACAGCCAACAACATTATTAAACTTGTCAGATTGGGTTTCTCTCTCTGATATATTTTGCCAAAGGAAAGTTGATTTTATTTTTGTATCTACCAAGTGAAGCCACTGCCACTGTCTGCCATTTCATGAGATGGAAGCATCTATCGAAGAATTGTCCTCTTCGTGGATTGGATTTATAGTATCTTCATAGATACTATTTCTTACTCAACTACCAGGTTTAGCAAATAATGAAAGAGTGGTAGCAGCCCATTTAGCAATTAAATGTAAAGACATAAAATATTGTTGAGGAACACATTCCTACACGGAATATATTATACTTGGCCCTGCAGAGAATACCCCAAAGAGTTAAATGAAAGATTTATCTTCAAAGAGTTTAAAGTCTTGAAAGTTGAACTACAAAATAATCCAAATAACTACAACATAGAGGAGGTAAGAGAAAACTCAAGATTACAAGGCTGATACGTGCCAGATCTGGGATTCAGACACACGCTATTTAATTTCAAAGACTGTGCACTTAATCCTCACATTATGTGGCAAATGAACAACACAATGAATCTCTCCTACTAGATTGAAGCTCTCTGCATCTTGTCCAGAGCTTTGCAAAAAAGATGCCAAATAAATTTGCTGAGTTAAATGATAAAAAATATAGACATTTGGGTTGTCACTGGTGTTCTCTCTGCATACATACAAAAAGTCATTGGGAGCATTTTAACCAAGGAAGAGAGCGCAGGTACAGGAAATGCCAGTGGAGAAGCATGAGAACTAGTCTGGGGAGGAGGAATTCTCCCTCCATTCCTTAGTCCTCTGTCCCCTCACCATCACCACAAAACCTGCTCTGGATGGGCCTGGCCTCACACTGGGATGCAAAGTGGCCTGGGCAGCCATGACTTCAGTTGCAGTGACAGAGAAGTCTTCCAGGGAGACCTGGAGTTTCCAAGGAGCCGTATCATGGACAGAAAGGCAGTTCTTGCAGCCACTGAGCAGAAGTTGCCTTTATCATGTGCAAAAAGTCTGTACTGCCTGCTCTGTGAGGGGGAGAAGCTATAGCAAGCAGTGTCTGACCTTTTGGCATCTTGGGGCTACACTGGAAGAAGAGTTGTCTGGGGCCACACATTAAACATATTGTGACATGTAATCACAAAAAACACCTCATAATGTTTTAAGTAAATTTACAATTTTGTGCTGGGTCTCATTCATAGCTATCCTGGGACGTGTGTGGCCTGCGGGCCACAGGTTGGACACCCCTGCAAGTGTAGAAGATGATAAGCACGTAATACCAGTTTTAAATAAGTATTTGTTGGAGGATATGGAACAAAGACCGTGTATAAGATTTTGATGTCAATAAAATATTGGAAATTAGGTTTTCCCCTCAGCCTTCACCCACAGTATTCTGTGTAACCTGAAACAGAAACATCCTTTCACCTTAAAGAAGTGGGGATAACTGTGAAAGTAGACTGTTTTGAGATTTATTACATTATTGAGGGGAAAGAAAAGGAATTGACATTTCCTTAGAACCTACTATGGGTCAGACCCCATTCTGAATTCTCCCCACTGTTTGCCAAAGCCCTGTGAGCTGCGTGTTATTATCTGCATTTGATAAGTGAGACGAGTAAGGTTCAGAAAATTGAAATAATTGCCCAAGCTCACTGAGCTGGTGAGTGAAGGGACCAGGATTTGAATCTCGTCTGTCCAGTTCTAAGTCCTTTGCACACTCATCCTGTTTCCTCCCTAAACTTAGGCTGAAACTTACCATCTATGTTTGGGGCTGCATCAGAAGCCTTGTCATAGACAACACCATGGGGCAAAATACTGTAGACCTTATCAGCTTTGTTGGCAAAGGTCACTAACAGAGTATCGCCTACCTCTGCCCTGATGACTGGGCCTGAAAAACATCAAGAAGAGGGAGGAGAAGAGGATGACAATAGAGAGACATGAATACAGGCAAAAGGAGAAGTCATTCCAAGTAGATGTAGATGCCCGCTAAAACATCTCCCCTCCCACATTCAAAACATGCCGGATGGTTTTACCCTACCAAGAATTCCAAGGTGGGCTTCTGCCTCAGAGAGTTTCTTTCTTTGAGTAAAGGTTTCATCAACGTACTCTATATACTGAGCTTTCCAGTATTTTCCTCCTATTCTGTTGTTCCCTTGTGTGAAGTAGAGCTCGGAGTCACTGTGGAAAGAATGGGAACCTGACTGAGAAAGCATCTCTGCATATCCACCAACTGCCTTAATTATGAAGCTTGGTTTTATAATCTTTAGCCCAGTCTCTGACTCATCTCCCAAGAAAAAACAGTACAGGCTTCAACAAAATTCCCAGGAAGAGTCAACCAGCCTTAAGAGTCATCAAAAGCTGGATAATGTGCAAGCTCTTTTCTCTCTTAGTCATTGCACTTTCTTCCCTGGCAGGCACAGGTCAACTCCTTACTTACCAATACTGGGGTCCCAGAATGGTGTCCTACAAAGTAACAAAGAACTAATGGGTTTCTCTGCAGAATATGCATCCCTCTATCTCTTTGCTCATGTCATTATGAATAGTCTCTGCATTTACTAAGATCTTTGATATCTGGCATGATTAAGGAATGAACTGTCTAGTTAATCAAATAGTTTAGTTAATAGTTTAGTTAATTTTGAAAACTAAATTTCAAAGTTGAGAAATATAATACTATACATTCTGACTAGTGCTACCTCTATATTATCTTATTTCTGTCAGTGGTTTCTTCACTCAGCCTGTCTACTATCCTCTTACCTTGTTCATTCTTTCTGTGTAACCTTTGAGTGCACCTTCCTTTTCTGCACTTTTTTGCATTTTTTCCTTTCCTTTCTTCCCACTGCCATGACCCCAGTAATGCCCTCATCACTTTGTGTTTGGACCATTATATGAACCTCTATCTGTATACTCTCCAACCTCTATTCCATTTTGGCTCACTCAGTTTTTTCTCAGCATACACACCACTACAACATTAATTTCCAAAATGACATTTTTTTGTTGTCAATTAGTAGCTGTAAAATCTTCATTTGCTTCCAGTTGCCAACCAGATGAGAACCAAAGGAACTCTGCAATTGATAACCAGTTTACTTTGTCCCAATTCTCTTCCTATTGCTCTATGCAAATGTGCATTCTCACATGCAAATCCCCCGCTTCAGTCACTCTGATCAAATCTCTCTCCCCTACATGGTCAGAGCTTTCCATTAAGCCTTGAGTCTAAAATTTCCTCTCTTCACTACTGCATAAATTCTATCAAACTTCATGACCTTGCTTAGATTCTGCTTCATCTTGAAGTGTCCCTGGTTATCTCAGTTCTTTTGGAGCCCAGAGAACTGACTGAACAACTCACTCTTATTTGTACCTTGCAAAGTTACTTCTCTCCTGTGCATATATGTTCTTTCTCCACCTTAAGGTAGAAACATTGTCTTCTTGCATCCCCCATGTTGCTTAGTATGTTGTACTTTTGTGTATTACATTATATATCTATTGAATATAGCTTAATATTTCCGATTTTAAAAGGTACTTCATATTCTAAAAGGCTTCTAAAACATAATTTCAATGCTAATTCCCATTCTGCTTATGAAGAAATACTGGTCAATAGAGAATGCTGATATCAGAGTTTTTCGTACACAAAGTTCTTTAAATAAGAGTCAAGTATATGTATTTGGTGGAAGAATGAATGAGTGAAATTTACAATGAAAGAAACAAAGGGAATCTTACTCATCACAAACAGAATTTTAGAAACATTTCCTCAAACATAAAAAGGGTTAGAGGATAATAACAATTTTGGAATTGAACTGTACATTTTAAAAAGTTTTCACACGCATTATTGCACATGATTCTACAATAAGAAGTCATGGGAGTCCACAACCACTTACTGAATTGTCAGATTCCATTTTTCAAATACTATGCTAGGAGAGAAAATGATGAAGTATGACTCAAGAGTCAGGGGAGGCCTTGCTTAAAAGGTGACATTAGTGCTAGATTTTGAAGAAGAATAGCATTTTACTGTACAGGGAGGAAAAGAAATTGAGGGTAAGGGGCCATAACTTACATCACGCTATCCTTGAACCAAAAAGGGTAACCTTCCTTGGCCAGTTCATCTCCACTGAAAGAGAGTCCTTTCAAATGGAGAGTTTTTCAAAACCGTCTGTTCCATATGTACAAAGGCCTTGTTTTATTCTCTGTCAGCTTAGTATTTATTGCTCATGGCACTTGGCACTGTAGTTTGCACATATTAGGTGTTCAAGAAATGTTTGATGGATGAACGAATGAATCTAGTGTTTCAATTTAGCCAGCAAACCATGAAGCTATAAATAGTCTGCCAATTCTCAGCAGTATGTCCAGGACTCAGAATGCCTTAAGTGGGGTCATTATGTCATCTATGCTGTGTGTACTCATAAGAGAAGTACCTGGAATATGAATGACATCACAGGGAAAAGCCTAACAGATGCCAATCTTATGAGAGGCTTAGAACCACATCAAAAGGAGCTTACCTGCCAGAGACATTTAGGGGAAGACCGTTGAATTTGTTGTAGCCTTGAGGAGCGTAATCCCAAAGAATTTTTTCAGCTGCTATAAAGTAGCGCCTCTGTTGACCCTTCATCGTGGGATGAGAAATACTGTTTTTGCAGTTACCAACATTGTACTGCCCCAGCATACCAGCTGCAGACCAGAGGAAAGCCAAAGTGTAGATATAAATGCTCACAAAAGCCAAGGTACAGATGCTCACAAAAAAAAAACATATGGGAAAAGACTGATAAATTTGACTTCATAAATGTTTAAAACTTTTGAGAACATTATGCTAAGTGAAATAAGCCACTCAAAAAAGACAATTACCATGGGATTTCACTCATATGTGGAATCTAATGAACAAACTGAACTAACAAGCAAAATAGAGACAGACTCATAGACAGAGAGCAGCCTGACAGCTCCAGGGGGGTAGAATGGTGAGGGGGTGGGGGTGGAGGGACCAAGCAACAAATTTAAAAAGAGAAAGAACTCATGGGCACAGACAAAAGTGTGGTGATTGTGGGGGCAGGAGGGTAGGTGGTGGTAGAAGAGGGCATAGGGGAAATAAACAGTAATGGGAAAAACACAATAAAAATTAAATAAATAAATAGAAAAAACTTCTGTACAAAAATAAGACCATAAGCAAAGTTAAAAGTAAAGGATAAATAGTAAGATTTTGTTCTTCTTTATTACTGCATATATATATATATATATATATATATATATATATATATATATATATATATATATTGCACATAGAGAGACTTAGAGGATATTATGCTAAGTGAAATAAGTCAGAGAAAGATGAATACCATGTGGTTTCACTTATTTGTGGACTCTGAAAAAACAAAACAGACGAACAAAACAAAACAAAAATAGGCTCAGAGAAACCAACACTAAAGGGATGGTTACCAGAGGGAGGGGGTTGGGGAATGTGTGAAAATGTTAAGGGGAATAATGTAGTCAATAATATTGTGATAAGTTTTCACAGTGACAGATAATTACTAGAATTAATGGAGTAACCACATTTATGGCATAAAAATGTTGAATCACTATTTGTACATATGAAACTAATATAACTAGTATAATATTGTATATCAACTGTACTTAAAATTTTTAAAAAGTAAAGGATAAAAGGCCAGCAGGAGTTTATGCTAAAAGATTAATATGAAAAAACATTGATAAATAAGAAAGAAACAGTAAGTCTCCCAATAGAAAATGGGCAAGAGACATAAATAGGTTATTTACCAAGAAATACTATTGACTCACAAACAAATAAAAAGAAAAGTTTGACCTTAATAGTAACCAATGATATTGTTCATATCAGATTGGTAAAGATTAGAAAAAATAATTCCTAGTGTTGACATTTGAGTGAGGAAAAGGGAATTAGTGAATAATAATAATTTTTAAAAGGGATTATATAGGGAAATATATGTCCCTAGCTTTAAAGAAAAACAACCAAACTCTTTGACCAGGAATTCCAAATCCAAGAGTTTTGCTAAGGAAATGTCAGGAAAATGTACAAACTTACCTGTAAATTGAGGTTTATCAGTATTGTTTATAAAAGCAAAAAATGGGGGAATATAAATGTTAAAGAATGGAGTGCTGGTTAAGTAAATTGTAATCTTCTTGGAGAGAACACTGGATGTGAAGTAGTTCTGTATTCACTGACATGTAAATATACTTCTGATATACTAGTAAGTGGAAAAAGAAAGCTAGAGGGCAGTATTTTATAAATAACATATGCTTTTAGTATAAAGGTCTAGAAAATACTGATGAAGGACATTCATCAAATTGTAACACCATTATCTTTAGGTAGGATTACTAATTTTTAAAATTGAATTATATGTATTTTCTAATTTTTCACAATAATTTTTTTCTGCAAGTATGGACAATTTAGAAACTCTTGTATTTCACTAATGTATAAACACCAGTTCATGTCCACAATTACTAGCCAAGCTTAACAATCTTGCTAGTCTTAGTTGGCTGCTAATGCTAACTTAACAGCATGAGACCCTTAAGAGTAATGATCTTATGTTGAGAACCCCTAAGATCTGTCTTCATAGGAAATTTCAAGTATACACTATGGTGCTGTTGACTGTAGTCACCAGGCTGTGTACTGGAACTCCAGAACTCATTCATCTTGCCATCTCTGAAACTTTGTACTCTCTCAAATCTCAAGGTTTCTCAACATACACACAAAAGGTAACTATGAGGGGTGATGGTTATGCTAATTTCTTGAGTGTAGTGATTGGTTCACATTGTATGCATTCAAAACATCCATTTGTATACCTTAAATACATATAATATCCATGTGTTGATTATATATATATCCATAAAGCTGGGGGTGTGGGAAGGAGAGCACTGAAAACTTACCTTGTTCATCTTTGTCTTCCCTGAACAGTATCTGGTACATACTAACTGATCAATCCAGCATCTGCTGAATTTAATTGGAATAACCCAGCTGACAAATGCTGAGACTGGCTGCTTAAAGTTGAGGGGAACAAGGATGTGTTATCAAAGCAGCTCTGAAGGATTGTATCCCTGTACTGTTACTGACCAGTTAGTATCCAAATTTATTTACTTTTTTCAAATATATTTTATTGATTATGCTATTACAGTTGTCCCATTTTTCCCCTCTCTTTATTCCCTTCCTCCCTGTACCACCCTCCCACCAGCATTACCCCTCCTTAGTTCATGTCCATGGGCCATATATATAAGTTCTTTGGCTTCTCCATTCCCATACTATTATAACCTCCCCCTGTCTATTTTGGGCCTGACATTTATGCTTCTGATTCCCTGTACCTTTTCCCCCATTTTCCCTTTGCCCCCGCCCACTGATAATACTCCATGTGATCTCCATTTCTGTGAATCTGTTCCTGTTCTAGTTGTTTGCTTAGTTTGTTTTTGTTTTTTTTTTAGGTTCGGTTGTTGATAGTTGTGTTTGATGTCATTTACTGTTTGTATTTTTGATCTTCTTTTTCTTAGATAAGTCCCATAAACACTTCACATAATAAGGGCTTGGTGATGATGAACTCTTTTAACTTGATCTTGTCTGGGAAACACTTTATCTGCCCTTCCATTCTAAATGATAGCTTTGCTAGGTAGAGTAATTGGATGTAGGTCCTTGTCTTTCATGACTTTGAATAGTTTCCAGCCCCTTCTTGACTGTAAGATTTATTTTGAGAAATCAGTTGATAGTCTTATGGCACTATGGGCCTCCTTTGTAGGTAACTGTCTCCTTTTCTCTTGCTGCTTTTAAGATTCTCTCCTTACCTTCAATTTTGGGTAATATAATTACAATGTGCCTGGTGTGAGCTTCCTTGGGTCCAAATTCTTTGGGACTCTCTGAGCTTCCTGGACTTTCTGGAAATCTATTTCCTTTGCCACATTGAGGAAGTTCTCCTTCATTATTTTTTCAAATAAGTTTTAAATTTTTTGCTGTTCCCCTTTTCCTTATGGCAACCCTATGATTTGAATGTTGGAACATTTAAAGTTGTCCAAGAGATTCCTAAGCCTCTCCTAATTTTTTTGAATTCTTATTTCTTCATTCTGTTCTGGTTGAATGTTTATTTCTTCCTTCTGCTCCAAACCATTGATTTGAGTCCTGGTTTCCTTGTCTTCACTGTTGGTTCCCTATATATTTTCCTTTATTTCACTTTGCATAGCCTTCATTTTTTCCTCTATTTTGAGACTGTAGTCAACTATTTCTGTGAGCATCCTGATTGCTGTGTTTTGAACTCTGCATCTGATAGGTTGACTAACTCTTCGTTGCTTAGTTGTATTTTTTTCTGGAGCTTTGATCTGTTCTTTCATTTGGGCCATATTTTTTTTGTCTCAGCATGCCTGTTACATAGTAAGGGCACTTGTGTTATGTGCCTTAGGTACTGACCGGGGGGGGCAACTACATGGCTGCACTGTGGTGCTATATGCAGGGAGGGCCTTAAGGAGGAACAATGTTGCTTGTTCAGCTCTCTGCCAGCTTTCAGTCACTTCCCCTGCTACCCACAAGCAGATTGGGCCTTTCTGTGCTGTTCCCAGGGGGGTTGGTTTGTGTACATTCTAGGACCCTGTGGTCTCTCCTATGAACTCTCCTGTGAGGCTGGGAGTTTCTCCTTCCACAGCCACAACCCCAACAGGTTTTTTCAGTCAGAGGTTTTGAGGCTTTATTTCCCTGCACTGCAACCCTGTGTTGCGTGGTCTTTCTCCCTCTCCAGTTGTTCCTCTCGGTTTATCTGCATGCAAATGTAAGACTACCTGCTCTGCCAACCGCCACCTCACCTGCTCCAGCCACCACCTTGCCATGAGTCCTCTCCACCCAGCTGTCCAACTCTGCCCCTCCTACTAGTCTGGTTGAATGTTTCTTCTTTAGCTACTTGGTTGTTGGACTTTTATATAGTTTGATTTTCTATCAGTTCTGGTTGTTTTTGTTTAAATTTATTGTTGTTCTTCTTTTGGTTGTGTGAGGAGGCAAAGTGTGTATATTTATGCCTTTGTGTTGGCCGGAAGTCCTTTTTAGTATCCAAATTTAATCATACATTATTTCTTCTGTGCTTATCCCATAGACACATTTTCCTATTCTAATCTTGTTTTCACCATCTAAGTCCAGACTTTACTTACTTACTTACTTATTTATTTATTTATGAAAACCTTCAGATTCTCTTTTTTTTAAAATTTTATTTATTTTTAGTTTCATAGAGGGGGAAGTGAAGGAGAGAGGGAGAGAAACATCAATGTGTGGCTGTGTCTCACACATTCTCTACTGGGAATCTGGCCTACAACCCGGACATGCCCTGACTGGGAATCAAACCAGCAACTTTTTGGTTTGCAGGCCTGTGCTCTATACACTGAGCTACACCAGCCAGGGGGAGACCTTTTTTATATGCCATAACTCTAATTTTGCTAATGCTTCTTTACTAGTAGCTAGCAGTCAAAATCTCTCCATTGAAACCTTTCTGCATGTGGATATTTTTCTTCCTAAAAGGATGCTCTAATTATGTCACTAGTGCACCTAAGGATCCAGAAGGACTCATTATTGCCTGCTGGACACAGTTCCACCTTACCCTTGCCATTCAAAGCTGCTCCCACTGGGGACAAACTGCCTTTCTAGGCTTCTGTCTCATCACTCTTCTGGCATAAGCCTATGGCCCATTCTTTGTGGTCCCAAGGGACCAGAACCAAGACAGTCAACATGCATTTAAGTCAACAAAAGTTTATTGTGTAACTTTAATAGACTTTTGCACCTATCACTGGATCTTGCCTCAACATAAGGAAGAATATTCTAACAGAATAGCCCAGGAATGAAATGGGCTGTTGTAATTACTTAAAAAGAGATGTTTCAAAGGAAATTGAAGAATTGGATGGGGGATTCATCTGGGTTATCTACAAATTCCTTTCCAATGCTAAAAATTTGTTATTCTACCTACAGTTGCTCATAGAGAATATGCTTTTCCCAGTCCATATTGCTACCTTTACCTGGAAAGCCTTTCTTCCCTTCTTCATCTATTTAATTTCTACCCATCTTTCAATGCTCAGAGTATGGGCCAATTTTTCAGGAAGCCTCTCAGATTGCTCTAGAGAAATGACTATTGAAAGGGTCAGGCCAGTTTCCCAGCCCACCAGGTGGCTCGTGACCCAGTCAGGCAAGTTTTCCAACCAGCTGGACTGCCCATGACTCAGTTATCCCAACTCAATTGATAGCCCATGGTGTAATCGAAACACTCTCCCACCTCCTACAGTAGACATCTGGTGCCAGCCACCATGGCCAGTGGTCAGACTGACCCCCTTGTACCTGGGACCAGCCTGCCCTATACCTAACCCATTGTTCTGGCTCACTTCTTGGAACCCTGAGGTACCCACCTGGAAGAACAAGAGACTAACTCCTCCTTTATCCCCCTGCAAACCCCGTGATTTTTTTTTAAATCCCATTCTTGCCTCCCCTCAGGGCTGTAGTCCACCCATAAGCACAGCATCAAATAAAGGCACTTGGATCAAATCATCTGGTTCCTCTCACCTCTATTTCTCACACATTTCTACCAATTATGAGACCAAAAGAACATTTATCATTCTGCCTCAAATGTTACCCACTTTTGTAAGCATCTCACTATGTCTAACTACTAGACTGTAGGTTTTTTGAAGGCCTTATCATTCCTTTCAGTCACTTCTTGCTTGGTTCATAGTGAGGGGGCCAATAAATATTTGTTGATAGAATGTCAAATAATCATTGTACATTTTCCTATATAGTTAACATTTAATTAAATATAACACAAACAAGAACCTATCTGACAGCAGGCACTGAATGAGCACCATTGACCTTGTGATTTAATTGTTCCATTCCAAGATTCTTACACTGGTCTTTGTCATTTTACCTTGTAGGTGATCACTGACTTGGCAGGTTATCATCCACTTCCCAGGATTCTCAACTATCATTTCTGTTGTCAAGAATGTGGCTGGGAACAGGTTGACAACATCAGTCCGATGCCCTCGGCTGATGAAGGTGTTACCATAAAAATAGATGGAATGGATGTCTATCTCATTCCCCATCCCAAACAGGTGCCAGGACACGGATTCACCAACACACATATCAGGCTCAGGGAAATTTCCAAAGAGGTATCCATTGAGGGCTGAAAAACAGAAGCACACTGGTGGAACAGACTCCCCTTCAGAGGTGAGTGAACCAGAAAACTTGGTGAAAATCAGTGCAGATCATTCATTGTAATGACTTTGTGAAGGAAAGCTCCTTTTATAAAATACAGTCCCAGAGAGAAAAGTACTCAATAAAAGTGACAATCTACACATGTAAAGACAGCCTTGGGGTTGTTATGTGGGCACAATGAGATCAGGAGTCAACAGTGCAGCTCATACTTCTGGGAGTGGCCAGCCCGCTCTGTTCCCAATACTTCATTTGCACATCTGCCTTCCCCATTGACTGTTCCTTGCAATCAGAAACCCTGTCTTACTTAACAGCTATTAGGACCTAGCAAAAAATCTGATACCCAGTATGTGCTACTTAATTTAAGTGACAAAAGCATGTAGCAGCAAGATGAAAAGTAAAGGTACTGATTACAAGGGACTTATGGCACATAATGAATGCTCAATAAATGTTGTTGATTTAAAGGAATGTTTGGGAAACATAAATTCACAAGTGTGTATTTAAACTCCATGGTTAGTATAGTTCTTAAAATTTAGCAGCCACTTAGAAAACAGTACCTGGATAAAGCAAGAGGCTGCAGATCACAGGCTTGTTAAATGGTGATGATTCATTCTCCTTTCTTCTGTCAATCTAAAGCCCCCAATCTCCTAGGGTCGCCTCCTGATCTTTTCTAAGTTATAACATTATTCCTTCCACTTTCTGTACCATAGCTTTGTCATATCCAATTTAACTTTTATCTATTACTGTGTCCTGTCTCAGATTGTTTCAAGTTCTGACATGTAGTGTGTTTCATATTACTTCCTAATCATTGTCATCACTCTGGAAAATCTTGGAAAACTAGGCCCAGCATTCCTGTGTTTTTGCATCTCTCATCATACCACATACACAATGGCAGTCGGTATGTATTTGCTGACATGGGAGACACTCACCATGCATTTTGTTACTCCTCTGAAAAGCAGCATCTTCTTTGTCAACTGAATCAGGGTCAGTGCAGAAATGTCTGATATTTTCGTCGAGGTACCAGCTTTGATTCTCATCCACCAGAGTAAACATTATAATGAACTCTCGGTCCACATCAGCCCTTGTCCCTGAATATTTATTCAGGACACCTGTCAAACACATTCAAAAGAAAAGAGAAAAAGTTCAAAGTGAACTAAATCAAGATGAGTTTTTCTTCCTGTCAATGGTGTCACAGAAGTGCAAAGTCTGTCAAAGGCCTGAATATGCAAGAGTGGCCCATACCTTAAAAGCAGCGAAGGGCTTTGATAGAAATGACAGAACTGTAGAAGAGAAAAGTCATAAGACAGAAATCTTCACACCTGAAGACTTGGAAATCTGCCTGTCCCTGAAGGAAGTCAACTTTATTGATATGGCATAGACACACCAAATCAATTAGTAGGGAATAAAATAGTAACGTGATTGTGTGGGCAAAATAATGAAGCAAAAGCATTCCTGGTCAACCTTTTCCACTTTCCTATGTGTGCTGTCAGTGTGGTGTTAACAGCTAGTAATATGAAATGTACCCATTTGTTTTCAAAGCATATCCATTTCAGAAGGCTATGATGGTCCTTAGAAGTCTGAATTATGGCTCCTGATATGGTGTCAGATTGATCTTCTCTGTTAGAAGAATTTCTCTGTCATACAGAAAACTTAGAAGAAGATGCACATTCTATATGAAGCAAAGGAGGTAGACAAGACTGAAAATTTATGTATACTTTTTAACATACCTGGGAAAAGCTTCCTTGGTGGGGGGATTACCTCCTTACCTTTCTTGCACACCAGCAGTGGGCCAATTAGCCCAGAGCAGATGTCTTTAGGGGCATCGATGTGTGAGTGGTACACCCAGGTCAGGCAGTTGGCATCAGCTGGAGTAGGGGCATATTCTTCTCTCACTGGCCAGACATAGGTGTAGTTTTTGCCAGGAGGAACCATATCATCATCCTTGTTCTTCCCAGATGTTCCATCTGGGTACAGGGCTCCTTCCAAGAAAAGAGAAAACAGAGTTAAACACAGAGATCACATGCTGTAGTGGTTAGGGCCAGAGCTTTGGGATCACAGACATATGAATTAAAATTTATTTCCTATGGAATTGAAGTAAATTACTCGCATTATCAATTTTTTATCAATAAACCCAGAATGTTAATATGTATCTCACAAGGCTGTAAGAACTAGGTGACAATGTATATGAGTGTCTTGCACAAAACCAGATGCTTAAAAAAATGTTCCTAAGGACCCCTTCTGATGGGCCTCCTGTACCAGTCAGGAAGATTTCAATCCATCCAACTTAACATCAACTCAAGAAGGAAAGGAGAAGCAGCAAAAGAAATAATGAACAGCTCTTGGACTCTTTGAGCAGATTCAGCATCTGTATAAGTTGTCACGAGAGATAGGAAGAAAGTTAAGATATTCTTCCTGCTTCCAGGGATCTTCCAGTTCTGTTGGGGAGACAAGAATATGAATGATGGTGGCATAGGTTTGCTGGAGAATACAGCAGGGTGATGTGTTAAATGTAACTTGGGGTCTATGCAAGGTAAGATTCTACCACGGAGATGGGTGGGACAAATGGGCATGGTATTCCCTTTCTCTATTTTATAACCTAAGATTGCACAAGGTTTTTCAATTAAGGAAAGTCCACTGCTAAAAAGAGTTTGAAAACCACCTGGGTGGAAGGCAGGAGACCAACCTGTGCAAGTTTTAATTATCAAAAGCTGCATAACAGAGGCAGGATTTGAGGGGCCTCAAAGGACTGGGGAGGAGTTGGATGGTCCTGAGAAGGCTGAAGGGTGAGGGCTGAGAGGGAGGTGGATGTGAAAACACTCCAACTTCATTTTCCATTTCTTCATTAATTCACTCAACAAACCTTGTATTGGATACCAACTATATACCAGCAAATGTGCTGGTGTGAAAATACAAATGGGAAAAAATACAATAAAAATTAATACAATAATAAAATAAAAACAAACAAAAAAGACAGCATGTATCCAAGGCAAGTTAAAAAAAAGTTATACCTACAAAAAAATCTAACATTACCTTTTAAGCAAATTCTACCATGAAACATAATTTGGTTTTTGGAGGAGGATACCAGGAGAAAACAACAACAGCTAAGACCCTATTATGTGCCGAGCACAGTGGGTACTTTGTATATGTTACCTCACTCTTGGAAACAACCCCATATGGTATGTATAACTATCCTCTTTTAGCTTACATCAAGAGAACACGGCTAGCATGTGGCTGGGCCACATTTTAATCGAATTGTGTCTGACTACCCACTACACTATGACACCTCCCCACAAATTATTGAGAATATAGTGTGTGGACTGTTTTTGCATACTTATTCATTTTGTTTTTATATACTTTCTTTTACATAAAACTTTCTTTTACATACCGATTTTTAACCTGAAAAAATGTGAATTATTAAAAAAATTAAACCCATATACTATATTTTACTGAAAAGATAAAGTCAGAAAACAAAACCTATGTAAAGGAATCAGTAGAGTAATTTAATTAGTAGATCCCTTCAGTATTAAGTGTAGCACTGAATTTTCTGATTATATCTAGATTATATTATTATATCTAGGTTTAATATATATTAGGTTGATATAATTAGGTCACATTCTTTCTTTGTCCAGTAAAAGGAAACTTACCACTTCCTTAAGGTAGAGGAACTTTTTTGCTGGTACTAAATTCTAAGAGAATATTTTCAATCACATCATTATATACAAATTATTGAGTGATATAATAAATTATGTTTTCAATGTCTTCAAAAGTTGCAAAAAAATGTTATTTTTAAAACAATTTCTTACTTTGTCTTTTTCTTATTATAATTGTTTTATTTTATAATATTTATAGATTCACAGGAAGTTTAAAAAGTGGTACAAAGAAGTCCTGGGTACTCTTCATCCCATTTCCCCCAGTGGTAACATCCTAACTGTAGCAAAACATGAAATTGACCTAGGTATAATCCACAGTTTTACTGAGATCTTGGCAGTTTTATATGCATTTGTATGTACCTAAAGTTCTATGCAACTTTATCATGTGTAGATATGTATAACCAACCTCCTAATCAAGACACAGAGCTGGTCCCTTACCACGAACACCCTCTTGCTGCTCCGTTGTGGACACTCCCATCCCCTTCTGTCTCCACATCTCCCTCCTCTGGCAACCACTAACTTGTTTTCATCACTGTAACTCTGTCATTTTGAGAATGTTATGTAAGTGGAATCATACACTATGGAACTTTTTGAGTTTGGCTTTTTTCACTCAGCATAATTTCAGATGTTTCTATTTTAGGGAATATAAGTTAATGATTATGATTTTATATTTGTTATGGGGTAAAATGATATCAAAATGTCTATCTCCAGGATTTACCTAATAACCAGTGTTATTTCTGACCTATCTTGACATTTTTGTATCACTTTTATGTCTTAAGAAGTGTTAACTGTAAACACTAATAGGGTAATGTTGGTTAAATATTAACTACCACGGCATACTAGAATACCTTAAGGCAAATGTTTAAAGGTTGCATTTTGTCCAAACATAGTAATAGTTTGTAGGGGTGTCTTTTATCAGCTGAAGGTGTTTCAGAGGAATTTCTTAGACAAATTATAATAAAAACACAAGGAAGGCAAAATGTTAATTTTGCAATTATAAACTAAATTATTATACTAATTTTAAACTAGTATAAACTAACTTTATACTAAATTAGTATTAAACTAAATTTATAAACTAAATTATTATAACTGTTTCACATCTCAAAAGTATAGAGCAGTTAGCAAATACAGGATGTATTATCTTATTCACCATCAAGAAACAAGCAGTATAGAGAACATAATAATACTTGCATGCCAAACCAGGACATATGGGTGATATCTGATCATTCAGAAACTCAGAAACTCTTACTGAGATTCTGGAAGGCCATGATTTTCCATTCCATATGGATTCTAGGAATAGCTAGGATTCTAAAAGTAGTCCTAGAAGACCTAAAGTCCATTCTAGCTACTGCTTTTGAATCAGAGAGACTCACAAACCTTTGGAGCTCAGTCCATGAGAATTCTTGAATTTATGACCAAGAAGCAGGGAAGAGGGAAAGATGTCACCTTTCGTTTTCTGTTGTGAGCTGTTTTCTTATATCTAGGCTTCTGTTGTTAAAACTGGATGCTAAGTGGTTAGGATATGTTATACAGTTTTGTTCATTGTAGTCAGGTACACTGTCATTACACTCTTTAATGTAATGACAGAGTTATTGTTAATTGTCACTAACAGTTGTCTGTTTTTCAGAGTTATTATTAATGATATGGACAATGAATTTCAGGTAGACTCCATATTTATTTTTTAATATTTGTTAGCTATCTTAAGGAGGAGGGCTAACATAAAGACAATCTTTGTTTTTTTAAATGAAGTGTAAATTGGTACAGCCTTTGGGATTATTTGGCAATATTTAGCAAGTTTGAAAATTCTTACACTTTTTTCTACTTCTAGGAATCTATTCCTCAGATATAATCATATATGTGCAAAGGTGTTCATTTATACATGATGCTCTTTGCAATATTGTTATTTTAACCTATTAGAAACAAGAAAAATTTCCACTATTTTGCAAAATTTTAAATATGGTACATGAAATTATGAAATACTATGCAACATTAAAAACAATTAAGTAGATAAGAAGTACTGACAGGGGAAAAAATTTCCAATATTACTAAGTGAAAAAAGCAAAAAATGGTGAGAGTTTAGAGGGATACAAGAGAATTGTTACACTGGTTATCATGGGCAGGGGATGGCTTATGAAGAAAATTATAACTTTGATATTTAATAGTTTGAATTTTTATTTATATTTATATTTATTTATTTTTAGAGAAGGGAAGGGGGGAGAAAGAGAGAGAGAGAAACATCAATGTGTGGTTGCCTCTCACATGGCCCCCACTGGGGACATGGTCTGCAACCCAGGCATGTGCCCTGACTGGGAATTGAACCTGTGATGCTTTGGTTCGCAGTCCGCGCTCAATCCACTGAACTATGCCAGCCAGGGAATAGTTTGAATTTGTAAATGAAAATGTATGAATATATTATTTGTGTAACTAAAATATTAAGGAAGTTTAATCAACAGAATATATAATGCCAAACAGTCTTCCTAATATATATGTGTGTGTATATATATATATATATATATATATATATATATATATATTTTAATCCTAACTTGATGATATTTTTATTGATTTTAGAGCAAGAAAAAGGGGGTGAGAAAGAAACACCAATGTAAGAGAGAAGCATTGATTGGTTGCTTCCCAAATGTGTACCAACTGGGGTATGTGCCCTGACCAAGAATCAAACCCAATATTTTTACTATTTGTCTGGCAATGTAGGATGTTCAAAACAAAATATATTTGATCTTTCAGAAAGAGGAGTTGGAATCAGATACAGTGCTTTAAAATGGCTTCCCTGAGTAAGGGAGGCCTACCTGAGCTGTTTGAAAAATTTTTTAAATTTAAAAAAATTAAAAATGGCCTACCTGAGCTGTTTGAAAAAATTTTTGGCAAATAAATAAATAAATAAATAATAAACTGAACATAGAATCCTTTAACCATGAAGGCTGTCACCTGATTCTCTTGGGTACTCCTGCAGTGCTTGGCACATAGTAAGCACTCAATAAATATTGACTGAATGATGGATGAATAGGCAGTTCAAATCTTTTTGGTTGCACCCACTTATTTAAAGGCTGCATATTGCCCTGGATGGTGTAGCTCAGCGGATTGAGCGTGGGCTGTGACCCAAAGCATCGCAGGTTCGATTCCCAGCCAGGGCACATGCCTGGGTTGCACGCTACAGCCCCCAGCAACTGCACATTGATGTTTCTTTCTCTCTTTTTCTCCCTCCCTTCCCTCTCTAAAAATAAATAAATAAATCTTAAAAAAAATAAAGGCAGCATATTAACAAGGATAAATGATATCCTTCAGCTTCTTGTGGGGTGGGGTGCATGTGCACGCACAGATGGGAAGCGGGAGGTGGGGTCTTAGGAAGATCATGGGAGACATGGTCTCTGAATATAAAGTGAAAATATAATACTGAAAAATATTTGACAGAATCATTTTTACTCAAGGTACAGTACCTAACTGCTTTCTAACGTGACAACTGATCTAACCTGATAGAGGAATAGGAAAAATCCAGAGCACTAACTACCAGCCATTAAATCCAAAGGGCATTAAAAAAAATTCCTGTTACCTAACCTCTCAGCAGCATTTGATATTATTGTCATTTTCCTCCTTCTTAAAATGTTCTCCTCTTTCAGCTCTATGACACTGCACCATCCTCTTTGGCAACTCTTTTTCAGTCTAGTTTTCCAGTATATTCTCCTCTATCTGTCATTCAGTGCCAGAAACCTTCATGTTATAATGCTGCCTCCATGCCCAGAGCTCTCACACCAGTTGACAGCATCCATCCTAACAGTGCTCCAATGAGCCCAGCGACTCCCACTTTCATCTCCAGCTTGGACCTGGTCTCTGAACTTTACACTGATGTCCTATCTCAATAAGCAATCTTTCCCAAAGAACACTAGCTCTCCCAGACCTGGTCTTCAGCTCCCTTTCTCCATGAAAGACACCACCAGTATTCAATGCCATAAGCTAAAAACAGAGGAAGCATTCTTATTGCCTTCCTCTTCCTCCCCTGCCATTCCCAAAGTATCACAAGGTCCTATCCTTGTTTCTTAACAAATGCATCTGTTTATGTCCATCTCCACTATCAAGAGACTAGTTCAAACAACATTAACAGTGTAAGAGTATGCATTTCAAAGCAGATTCATTTGGTTGTATGTATTCTAGGATGTGTGGGCTTTTAGAAATAATGCGAACTTTTATCCATCAGATTTGAGAATATTAAGGATTGGTGGGGTTGTAAGAGAAATAGGCTAGCTCATACACAAAGGGTAGAAGAGTAAAATGTGTGGTTTCTTGGAGGACAAATACTACCTTACTACTAAAGCCAGGTTAAGATATCACAAGGAAAGAAAACACAGACCAATTCTCCCCATGAATGTAAAAACAAAAATTCTTAACAAAATATTATCAAACTAACTCCAGCAACATATAAAAAAACTATATACCATGGCCAAATTTATCCTATTATTGTAAGGTTGGTTTAACATTCAAAAATAAAGTAATGTAATAAAACATATTAATAGACTAAATGACAAAAACCATGTAATCATCTGAATAAGTACCAGAAAGCAATTAATGAAATCCTTATCAAATTAAATTTATCAAATTAAAAACTCTCAGCAAACTAGGAATAGACAGGAACATCCTCAACCTGATAAAGTGCAGGATCCGGCAGAAGTAATGCCTGCATGCCTGCGGTTGGTAGGGTAATAATACGGGTGTACAATTTATAGTTTTAATGTGACCATTTAACCTAAAATGTCGTATAGTGTGGTTGAGTGTGATATTGTTATGTTACAGAATTACATTCTTATGATTTTGTTATAAAAAGGAAGCGTTATTTGTGCCAAACCCTGTATAATCTGAGAAAAGCTCATAACTAACATTGTGCTTAATGAGGAGACTGAATGCTTTCTTCCTAAGATTGGAAACAAGGCAAGAATGCCTGCTCTCACCACTGTTATTAAATATCGTCCTGAAGGTTCTGGTTACTGCAATGAGGCAAAAGGAAAAACATAAAATATACTGATTTGTAAAGAAGAAAAAAATATGTCTTTATTCACAGTGACATAATTCTGTATATAGAAAATTCCAAGGAACCCTCTAAACATCAACTAATAAACCAGTTCAACAAGACAGTAGAATCCAAGATAAATACACAAAAATTAATTGTATTCTATATACTAGCAACAATCATAAAATGAAATTAAGAACACTATTCTATTTATAACAACATTAGAAAGAATAAAATACTTTGGAATAAATTTAACAAAGGAAATGCAAATGTTGTACACTAAAAACTAAAACATTGTTGAGAGAAATTGAAGATCTAAATTTCTTACTGATAGATTGGAAGGCTCAATATTGTCTAGATGGTAATTCATCTTTAAAATGCATATGACAGTCTCCCCCTCAACTGATCAATAAACTGAATGCAATTTTCATCTAAATCCCAGATGGCTTTTTAAAAAATTAACAAGGTGATCCAAAATTTATATGGAAATGTAATGCTAAAAAGTCTTGAAAAGGAGAACAAAGTTGAAGGACTTATACTACACAATTTAAAAACTTACTATAAATCTATAGTAATCCAGATAGTATGAGATTGGTACAAGGATAAGCATATATAATATATCAGTGGAAGGGAATTGAGATCCCTGAAATTAAACCCTTACATTTATAGACATTGATTTTCAATTAGAGCCTATGACTCATTCATCTTTTTTCCCGGAAGGACTGAGAGTCAGTTTCTGGCACCTGGTGGATAGTCAATGGAAGGTTTATGAATGAAGACAAACCTTTTAAAATATTGGTGGTAAGAACATACATACTTGTGGTAAGAAGTAAATCATATATTGGTGGTGAGGTATGCTTCCCAGAAATACATGAAGGGATAGGTAAAATTAAAGATTCATAGATACCCTTATTTTTTCTATATTTAAAAAGCCACAGCTATCATGGTACATCTTTACATTCTACCTACAGTGTAAATAATACTTTTACACAACTATATTAAGGAAAATGCATCAGTAGTTATTCCTTATATTTATAAAAGTCTCTTCAAAGTTTATCTGGCACAGTTATAGGTGCTCATTTTCAACTACTCAAAAGAATCATATCTGGGACCAAGAGTTTTGTTGCACACTTCAAATGGAAGAAAAGGACAAAAAACTCCTGAAGTCTGAGAAAAACTTTTATACTGAAAGTCTAAGAATATTGCTTAAAATTAAAAAAAAATAGGGACAACTCAAGAAACTGCATCATTGAAGCTCTGGCAGTGCACATAAGAAGGCAGAGGCATTTCAGAAAGGAAGCATTAAAGGCAGCAGCTTTAGGCAGGGAAGTTGAGATCTCAGGGGGTCTCACCCTGAGACACCCTCCCCACAGCCAAGGCCATTAGTGGTGGCAGGACCTGGAACCTGTTGGTGTGTGCCCTCTTTACCCATGGTACCACCCAGTCACAAGTGATTGACAAGGATGAAAGTTAATGTGCTGCTGGGGGCATGGTGGTGCTTGTGCCAAGGGGGTTCAGCCCCCAGTTCTGTCTCAACATCAGCAGGAGAGAGAAAGAAGGGAGGGTGGAAATAAGGGACAGGAAAGGAAGAAGAGAAAGAGAAGGAGGAACAGTTGGAGATGGGGAGAGAAGGAGACTGGGAGAAGCTGAATGAAAGCAGGTAATCATTGTGTTCTTAGAATCCCTTTCACTGTAACTGGCAGTTGCCTTACTTATGAAATAGAGATAGGCCACCAATAACACAGGATAGATATTTACCTTCTGAATCTTTGTTGTAGAAAACACCGTGTGGATGCAAAGAATAAGGTCGGGAAGCAGAGTTCTTTAAATGGATGACAATCACATCGCCCACTTCAGCCCTCAAGATGGGGCCCAGGAATCCAAGCCAGGGCGGTTTGGGGATCTCTGTGGCATAGGTCTCATCTGTGTAGTGTCTGTAAACAGCCTTTTTGTAAAGACCACCTATCCTGTTTGGCCCTCTCTCGAGAAATAAAGTTGCAAGTCTAAAAGTAAGAAGAAAATTATTTTAAAATTAAAATTAAAAGAAAAATCTTAATGACATACCCTAACAGGTCATACAGTACATGCACATACGATTTCTTATTTGGTGTTCACCATAACCCTGTGACCACTGTAGAGATGGTAAGATTATCTTCAATTTACTGATGAGGAAACTGAGGCTAAGAGAAAGAGTTAAGTGACAAGCCAAAAGGCAAAAATAGTATTCACAACCAAATTAAAATAGAACCAAAGACTAAAGTCATGCTGTCCCCTTGTTGTCTTTCATTCAACACCTCTCCTTTGCTTTTTCTGTTTGACCAACACTTAATATGCACTTACTGAATTCCCAGCACTTTGCTAGGTGCCGTGGAGGGATACAAAAGAGTTCTTGATCTAATAATGGAAACATTAAGGAACTGCAGAGAGCAGTATTTAATTAAGTACCAATTGAGTGGTTGATGCAACAGATATAGGCTCACATTTTCTAGGAATATATTCGTTCAGAGAAGGAAAAGATTGTTGTGGGTTGAAGAGGTCAGAAAACACCTCGTGAGAAATGCAGGAATTAAGGAGAAGTAGAGTTAGATAAAAAGTGGAAGAATGAGGACACGAAACAGGTACAGAGCACAAGCAATGAGAGAGAAACAGTACACATACTGTATGAGGGGCAGGTTACGAGCTGGAACTGGGTCTGGAAGGGGAGCTGTGAGAAGTATGGATACACGTAACACCTGGGAAAAAGACTGACCATGAGCTTCCATTCCAGGTTGAAGAATTGAGGATTTATTATGGACTCATGGAAGTTTTTCACAAAGTGGTGACAAGATAATCAGTATTTAAGGACCATCCTCATGACAGTGGTGTGCAAGTTTTAGAGGAGTCAGGCGAAGGGGAGAGCAAAGGTGAGGGACCAGGAGGCTGTCAGGAGAGCAGCGGAGATGGGGGTGGGTGTAGTTTTGCAATAGAAAAAAGGGGCAGATGGGAAAAAACAGTATTCTAAGATTTGATGTCACTGGATGCCCTCCTGGGACCCCAGGGTGAAGGGGACACTCAGTCCGGGGCCTGTGTGCTTGAGATGGTAGAAGCACTGGTGACATCACTTCAGAGATGTCAGGGTGAGGGGGCCACACAATCTTCTCCTGGCAAAGTGGAACTCCCTTCCCCACTCTCAGTCTGTGTGCTTAGCCACAGGGCTCCAACCCTGGAAGTACTGGACCCTGCTTGAATAAAAGCTCCATGACTCCTGGGTGCAGCAGCCACCCTAATGTAGCTGTGTCCCCCTTTGGGTGAGAGGCAAGTCCTGCTCTCATACGCACTCCTGCACATACTCATGCATGCGTTCCCTGTTGGTCACTCCGCAAACTTTATGTCAAGACTTGTACTCAGTCCTGGGATACAGAGAGAAAAGGCAAAGCCTTGAAGGAGCTCTCTTTCTAGAAGAGTGAGTCATGAGAACACAGATTATGTTGTGCGGCACCTAATCTGAGGTGGAGGACAGATCAGGGGAGGTTTCCCAGAGGAAGTAGTGCCTAAATATGGTCTCAAAGAGCAAAGAGGAGTTACCCAAGCAGTGACAGGGAAAGGGTTGATACAGTAGACACTTTGGCGTTTTGCCAAGTCAGTGCCCACGCTCTTCTTTGATCTGAGAGCACACCTTCCCCATTCTCATGCTAAGTGCTTCGGAGGGAGCTCCACCCACAGTTCCAGTGATGAGCAAGTGACTCAGCCTAACCATGAGACATCAGGTCCCCTCAGATATTGTGGAGGGAGGCCTCGTGATCCAGGCCTGGCCAACTGATGGAATGGGGCAGGCCTGACATGTGTGGGTGCCTGGGCAGACTGGTGATCTGGTGCTCTGGGCAGGTAATTAATACGTGCCCCCAACTGATATTTGTCAAAAAAAACAAAAACAAAAACCCAAAAACTTGTTCAGCTCTAATTTGGAGGAAAGACTGAGTGCTGTGATGAGGAGAAAGTAGCCTGGTGGTGGCGGTCCTCACCTTCCCTTGGTCACAAGAGGGATCCCATCCTACAGTTCACAGGACCAATCCTTCTTGGAAGGGATTTTCGTGACCACCTGTTAATACTTGAACACATATCTGGGGTCTCCTCCTTCCACCTCCCAAACCCCATCTCAAGTAGGTGATTCTTTCCAACCACATATAATACTCACCTTAGTGAAGTCCTGGAAGTTGTCGTTTTCTCCTCCTTCAATGTCATTTCCAGTGAATTTTGACCCCCCAGCAATACCTCCAGCATCCTGTGATGTTCTAGTACCCTTTAGACCTGAGACCCAGCTGCCCATGTCCTAATCTGGCTGAGCTGAGGACTCCTGGAAGCTCTCCCGCCTCTGATACCAAGGCTGTGCTCATCAAGAGGGGCTTTGTTGCTGACAAGTCTGACCATGTCCTATGATTGTATTAGGTGGTCTGGGGCAGGCTGGATGCCTCAGCTGATTAGAGCAAGAAGTGAAGGAATTGTGAAACATTGTGAAGGAATCACTTTTAAACTTTAAAACCATGCTATGTTCCATTTAAATTTTCTTTTTAATTTTTTTTGTGCTGTAAGCTTTAGTTTATAAATTATAAAAAGGCAAGACAGCTGTATACCCTACTTGACAGCAGGTCCCTGGGAGAAAAAAAACAGTCTTTGGAAGGCAAGCCCAGCAAACCAAAGCTGATAAAGATCCTGGATGAATTTCTGGAACAATGTTCATTGGATATTTTCTTGTAGCCACAAACTCTAACCTGGACCCAGGCATCATCAGATAATGCAACTGACCCTTGAACAACACACGTTTGAACTGTGTGGATCCACTTACATGCAGACTGTTTTCAATAAATAAAGCTGGTCCTTTGTATTCTTGGGTTTCACATGTACAGATTCAACCAACCATGGATACAAAACAGTATTTTTGCATTCCCAACCACATATTCCCAATTGCAGATTGAAAGTACTGTTGAACATCTGAGCCTCTCACTTCTGAACTCTAGTCTTCCAACAAACACACACACACACACACACACACACACACACACACACACACAAAGTAAACACACAGGCAAATGCACGCTGAGCGAAAGTTCTTTATCATAAATTGTCTGGCAGAGCCTCTCAAACAAGAGGCAAGCAGAGGAGGAAGGGAAACTGTTTGCTGATATCTTACAGCTCTTATTGCATATGTTGTGTGTCTTAACACTGAGTATAGATTGAATTATTTTGCATGTGTATCACTCCTAGCACCTAAACAGCCAGTAGTCACCTCAAGAAGGGGTGAAGTTTACTCAGGCAGTGGCTCTGAAATGTCCGCATATGTATACTCTGGTTTCTCTTCAGATCATACACATCTTTTGCTTTTTACCAAATGTCCACATATATACTAATTCTATTAGAATTATCTGGAACATTTGCCCCAGATTTAGGTCCCCAGGCCCCATTTCAGGGCTTTCGGAATCTGACTTTCTGTTATCGGGACTGTGGCCTCTACATGTTTCCTATCACTAAATAATTCTTTCTGCAGAGCTTTCCAGTGCTTGCCCATTCATATTCGTCTTTCCTCACAGCAGAAGGGGAAGGCAAAGAACTTTTGCAGTTAGGCGGGGCCATGAGATTTTGGCAAATGGCCCATGAGTGCAAATGACATGTGCCACTTCTGAGCTAGTACATTTAATTGCAGGGCCCCCTGACTTCCTCCACTGCAGGGGGAGCCTCCAGTGAAGACAGTGAATCCTTAAGATCTCAGCAGCCTGTCTTGCTAGTATGCTCAGGTGTCCTGCAGTTATATGGCCCTGAAGGAAACCCAATGAGTGAGAAACGCATCTGTGTGGTGTGAAGTCTGTGAGGTTTGGGGGTTATTTGTAATTGTAGCACAACCTGACTTATTCTCCCTAATACAGTGCTGATGTGGATGCAAGTTTGCAAATCACATTTCTATCGCACTGAGCACAAAAACCATAAGAACTATCTGAAATCATATTAACTATTTGAAACCACAGGAACTACTGAAAGTAGAAAAGGCAGGGAAGAAATGGAAGTAGAAACAGAAAGCAGTCTTTTTGTTGTCTATGCAGCCAACCACCACTAAGAAAACCTGATGCATTTGTAAGAGTAGAACAGAAACTCCAGCTCCTATGAGTTCTAAAAGATGCAAATCTTGCCCCCAAACAAAGCAAGGGGTGACTTCCAGGAAGCCATTCACAGGAAACAGCCCGAGGTGTAGCTAGAGCGCATGCATTAGAACGCTTGTGCTGGTGGGTTGTATACTGTTTGTGTTGCAGCCACAGGAAGTCCCCACTGTGAAGGACTGAGCAATCACTACCTCTCAGGCTCATCCCCATCACACATTCTAACATTTTGACTCAAACTGAGTGGGTACCTCTTCCTTGCTATGAAGGTTGAGCAGGAAGTTTCACATTAGCAACTGCTTTAAGGACAAAACGTGTTCACATCGTCAAGGCTAGAGGCAGTACTGTGAAAAGAGACACCGTCCAAAATCAGGTGAGATGAACCATTGTGGGAATGAACCTACCCTTGGGGATCATCTAACCAGTGCAGAGGTGGACTCCAGGTTAGATTCCAAGGATTTCTTAGCTCACAGGGGGCATGCACCTTGACATATCCTTTGCTCTCAACAACCCGGATCTTGTAGTGGAATTCCTCCCCTCCCCCACCTTATCCTTTCAACTATTGAGCAGTTGTCGAACCTCTGCTGTATATGAGAAATTAATCTAAAACCTGGGCCCAAAAATAAAAAATAAAAAAGTAAAACCTGCGACCAAGATGTGTGAATCTCAGTCCTGCTCTCAAAAGACTTACTATCTGGTTGGGAGGACAAAACATATGCATTGAAGAATAAACAGCAATATTCAGTTTTCTATATTAAGGGGCAAGTATATCATATACAGCTGAATGAGTGTGCGTGTATATGTGTGTTGGGGGAGAACAGGGTGAGAATGAGCTTCAAAGTAACATCAGCAGAGGTACGGTCAGGACAAACCCGTGA